ACTGTGGTAAGTGCGGCACCTGAGCTTTTAGTGGCTGTTTGGAAGGCTGTATCCAGGCTCTGTGGAACCGTTGCTATAGGATCAATCGGAGGTAGGGTGATCGTGTCTGTGTCTTCCTCCCTCATAAGATAGGTGTTAGCTGAATTATCGTCCTTAGAAGGTGAAGCCAAGTCCAAGTTGTTGACCATCCAGTAATGGATTTCCATGTCGGAGAATATGATGCCTCCATCATCTTCAGTAACAGGATCACTGATTAGAGGCCGATGGTACTCTTCCGATGGTGACTGAGGTGGAGTCCTGTCCGGAGACCTTCTTGGAGACCTGCGCGGAGACTTGAGAGGCAAGCGTCGGGGTGTCCTGCGTGGCGGTCTGCGTGGAGACCTACGAGAAAATCGACGTGCAGAACGGCGAGGCAATCGACGTGGAGAACGGCCCGACGAGCTGCATCTGTAAAGGCGACCTTCGGCGCGAAGGTGAGCGATGATGATAGCCCGCGAAGCTCCTGGGGAATCCCTCGATGACCTCCGGTACGAAGATGACTTGGAGACTGTAACTGGTGTCCGCCGAAGATCTTCCGCGAAGCTTCATCTGAGTCCGCATCTGGGGAGTGATGACTTGTCCAGCGAAGGCCAGCAGCGAAGCTTCATCTAAGTCCGGGATGAGAGGATCCTCCGTGAAGCGCGCGAGCGTTGATCATCGGAGTCCGAGGCAGGTGACGATCTAGAGGTCCTTCGCGAAGGCTTTCGCGAACGCTGATCGTCTGGGTCCTTCGCAGAGGTAGGCTGTGACTTCCTTCGTGCAGGCTGGTCCCTCAGTGGTGACTTGGTAGCAGCCGCTACGTTGATGGGAGGTCCCTCAGGCCCTGGGCTGGTTGTTTCTTCTCTAGTCCATGGCGGTCTTCCATCAACTTCATTAGTTGTTGCACCAGGTCGCCCGGGACGGTCTGCGAAGATGTAGGCGCTGCCCTATCTGCGTTGGTAGCAACGGGACCCATGGGAAACTCGTCAGTCATCAGCGTTGGTACATCGGGCTGATTGCGGATCTGCGCTGACGTCACTGTAGCTGAAACCGGTCGTTTCTTGTGATGAACATCGGGTATGATGAGCGGCTGCTCATCATACAGGCCCTGTTCTGCAGCGGGAACAATCTCGGCCGAGAAAGTTCGTGCGGTCTGCGTTGGTTTCCCCTTGGTGGTAGACGCTGCCCTGGGGGTGCGGAGTCTGCGCTGAGAAGTAGATGCCCTCTTAGTCTTAGGCTGCGACGACGGGATGTCTGGTCATGCAGGACGCTTCTTGGAGACGGCGGACTGTGTCCCACGCCTCTCCTCCGAAGGAAACTCCAGCGGAACACCAGACGGGAGGGGGTCGTCCAACAGCAGTTGACTTGAGGGGATTGGTAGCATTATCCATGCCTGGATGTAGCTAACATGACCTATCTGCTGCGCGTCTCAAGACCAAAGTAAATATTTGTTAAAAGCAGAATTAGATAAATTATTACAATAACTGCAACGTGAACTGAAGGAACATGGTACAGTACAACTAGGGCATATTAAATGCGGATTAGCAGCAGAAAAACGTAACTTGCAAACCGTACAGATTTTCATGAACGTAGCCTACTGAACAATTACGGCATACACCGCGAATAAACAGCAGTAAATACGAATAATTATCAAAACATATTGTTGAAGGATACTAGCTAAACCTCTATAAGGGACTTGTAGAGGTAACTAAGTAAGAAATATCAAAGGATATAGTGCCGTAGGGAGACACAGACGCTCTCACATCCTGCTCACTGGGCGAAGAAGGAGAGAGTGAAGCATGTGGGGCACAGTGGCGCCGTCTTTCCCGCCAGTTGGAGCAAAGAGGGGCAACTCTTGGTGAGTAGTGATTAGTGATTTTACGTATGTTTCAATTGAAGGGAGCTTCAATAGGGAGATACAAGTGTTCCACTATGTTCGCAAGAAGAAGAAGACAAGCAAAAGAGCATGAGTCAGGATAAGGAAAAATAACTTAAGAGTACATTTAGAGTACTGAATGGAATTAACTGGCGTATAAGTAATCTTGTGTTTCGTTTCATATATGCACCACAACATTGTGTAAATGGGGCAATAAACAATAAGATAATACGTTTTCAGATAAATACCTCCGTAAATGATTCTAAGACCATACACCATTGCTGTGGCGCGTATCTGCTACGTTTCCTAAATTATTACCTATCGTATCGTGCATATCTTTTATCCGTACATACGCCGATACAGCCTTTATCTGGAGCCCTGCTAAACCAAACACATCATACCATATCTTTGCCACGAAACCCAGCAAACAGAGCTGCATCCGAGCCAGGGCCTGGTCACAGGAGAGGAAAAAGGACACCATTTCCCGTACTTTGATGATATGGTAAGGCGAGAGAGAGTGACAAGACCCTCCTCCTCTGTTGTGAATCTAACACGAGATTGGTAAGTACTCTAGGAGCAGTGGATATGCCAAAAGGAAGTATCTGAAATTGGTAACAAATCCTGTCATAAGAAAACAGAAGGTATTTCTTGAATGAGTGGTGTATTGGCACTTGAACACATCTTTGAGGCTGACTGAGGTGAATGGCTGAACATTGTGTGTCCTTCTTTGAAGGATGAAACCACTATCATGCAGTTCAACACTTCGGGGTTGAGTATGGGCCTTGAATTTGTGGAATAACAGCCCATGTCTTCCTCACCCTATGACACGTGCTCTGTGGCTTGTATTGCAGGTCTTGGATTTTTTTTGCAGAACCTTTGTCTTCTCCGGGCAGTATGGCACAAGGAGTGGCCTGATCCTTGAGAACGGAACTTGCTTCCACTGTGGCTGCTATAAACCAGGCCTAAGAAACCTTGAAGGCGGTAGCTGCATCTGCAGCTTCCCAGATGCACCCCAGGAAAGAGGGTAGATGGGAGGGAAAGCAGGGTACTGCAGTTTGACAGCCAAGTACTGAGAGGTTGACAGTCAAGTACTGAGAAGCTGACAGTCAAGTACTGAGAAGCTGACAGTCAAGTACTGAGAAGCTGACAGTCAAGTACTGAGAAGCTCACAGTCAAGTACTGAGAAGCTCACAGCCAGGTACTGAGAAGCTGACAGCCAAGTACTGAGCAGTTGACAGTCAAGTACTGAGAAGCTGACAGCCAAGTACTGAGAAGCTGACAGCCAAGTACTGAGAAGCTGACAGCCAAGTACTGAGAAGCTGACAGCCAAGTACTGAGAAGCTGACAGCCAAGTACTGAGAAGTTGACAGCCAAGTACTGAGAAGCTGACAGCCAAGTACTGAGAAGCTGACAGTCAAGTACTGAGAAGTTGACAGTCAAGTACTGAGAAGCTGACAGCCAGAGCCTGCACATGCCCAATACTGCACACATCACTTGTGATGCAGAGGACCTCAAACAGTCCTGTGTTATGTGTCTGCGCCTCGGTCAACTGATACATGAGGACCACAGGGCTGACCTCTGAAGCAAGGAGAGGTAAACAGAACTGCCATGTAAATCTGCTGGCAAACATTCTGAAATTATGTTTGAATCTTCAGTACAGCCCTCAGAGGGGCCTCCGACTGGGAAAAAGGATGAACCTACATAACAGCCAGAGCTGCTGCAAGGCAGCTGAAGCACCTCCCTGGGTGACCAAGGTGAAAATGTAATTGTCCACCGATGGATCCAAGAAAAGTTTATCTTTCCCCAGCTGGTACCGCGCAACTCAGGAAGCCCAAAAGCAAGGGGTCGATTACATTCAGATGGCAGAACATGGAGCTGAGTTCTGAGAAGGTGGAACTCAGCCAGATCCAGCTGCATCATCGGCATTGCAGCCTGAGCTAGAGCGACAGCAATAAGCCGGGGAACCTCCTTCAGAACTGCACTAAACTGCACTGTCTTCAGAATGCGAATGCAATAAAAAGGCAATACACATACAGTATTTGCTTTTTCAAATTACATCTCATTACATGATTAATCATCCATCAGGGAGGTTCCACATGTGTTCACTGTAGGACTGACAGCAGAAGGAATGATGAGATGGAAGAGATGGTGCTCCTGGTATATACCCAAACATGAGCTTTAGGGGAGGTAACTCTGGGTGGTGGGGTTATCAGATAACAAATAGAAATTCAGGGGTGTTTTTTTAATGGTACAATATTTCCATTACAAGTTTAACAATATTATTTATCAAACTATTATTACAACTAACACAGGATATTTTCAGCAGTAGTAGATGCATATATGTACCTAAAGGAAGACACCTTCAGAAAAAGAATGATCTTTTGTGCAGTCAATACCAAAGTCCACGAGTTAGCTCCCTTGGATTTACTTCGATCAACATTGTATTGTGCAGTACATATATTAATATACTATGGCATAAGAATGTAGAGTGCACACATTATCTTGAACTTGCAATGGATTACTATTATGTATATTATTAATTCATGTAACTTGTACCTGTGATAAGAGGATGTGTGTGTGTGCAGCTTTGATGATTATATCTTGTTATTAATATATCATTGTGTTCCCAGGTGACTTTTAATGTAACTAGCATGGGCAAGAACGATATCACATCTGCTGATGGATCACCATACTGCTATGCATGTTGTATTGTCCCCCCACCCCCCACACACACCCTTTGTACCTGCTGTTTTAGTCGTTTCATGGACCCGTGAAGATCCAGGTTAGAATTGATCTTCAGTAGCCCATGCTTGTCGTAAGAGGCGACCAACGGGATCGAGTGGTCAGGCTCGCTGACTTGTTTGACACATGCCATCGATGCTCATGTTGTTGATCACAGGATTGTCTGGTCTAGACTTGATTAATTATTTACAGACCGCCGCCATATAGCTGGAATACTGCTGAGTGCAGCCTTAAACAACAACCAACATTAATTTCATACTGTAAAGATGCTGTCAGAAACTTGATGTGAAAATCGAGAGCAAGCAAGTCTTATAACCCCATCCCTGGGTACTGCACCGTTACGGTAGACAAGAGTGAGACTGACCTGCTTCTATAAGGAGAGCCCCAGCAGTGTGTGTGCGGCCAGGAGATGGGCTGTAGTCCGTGGTGGAGGATCGTCTGTAGGCCGGCCTGGTCATCGAGATGGCCACAGGGCTAGACCTGGCTTGATGGATTCTGGAAAAGTCAGTGAACATTTGTCAAAATGCCATATTTGTAAACCCCAAGAATAATGCTTCCTTTGATAAACATAATAATAATAATAAGTCATCTTCTATAGCGCACAGTCTCCAAAAACCAAGTGATTGCTCGCTGCGCTTAATCAGAATCTGATTACTATTACCCCAGATAACCCAAGCTTCCTGTGAGGCGCTAGAAGGTTATAGTCACATGACTTTATCCAACCAGGTACCCATTTTCTGCTGGGTGAACAGAGGCAATTTTGAACAAATTCACTTGCCTAAGGTTTGACCACATGTATCACATGTGCTTCGTTGTGGGGCAGACTGAAGTCATAGAAACTCTCAGGAGTCAAGCTGCCAAACACAGTCACCAATCCAAGGACTGTCTAAGCTCAACTTGCTTAACTTCAACTGATTCGTGACCTGAGCTCTGTGCACAGGACCACACGCCCCCACACATTATCATCCTAATTATAATGCTGGCTTTGTTAACCCTGATTATGAAGCCATCTTTGTAAATCCTTAGTGAAGTGCCACGTTTCTGCTGCAGATGTAACATTCGCACAAATTTTCTTTATGATTTTTCAGTCAATACAATTATATTTCATTTCAAGTTCTGTTTTCAATGTTCATGTGTAATTAGTGGTTAGAATAGTTTAAAAACATTCCCGTGTTCTTTATGTAAGACACCATCCTGCTATAAAGAACAGATTCTAATCATTATCTACTAGTAATAAAATTAAGCTTAATATTGTCTACATTCATACTGATTGTATAGTGAGTGAGTGAGTGAGTTTAGTTTTACACAACACTCAGCAATATTCCAGCTATATGGAAGCGGTCTGTAAATAATCGAGTCTGGACCAGACAATCTAGTGATCAACACCATGAGCATCAATCTACGCAATTGGGCTACGATGATATGTGTTAACCAAGTCAGCGAGCTTGACCACCCGATCCCCTAGTCACCTCTTACAACAAACATGGGTTGCTGAAGACTAATTCTAACCAATTCACAGGTTTTATTGTGAAGGCTTCCAAAGCTAATTCAATATCATTTCCTCTCAAGACACTTACTTGAGACTTTCAAGATCACACTCGTCTGCAGCTATGTCCATCCCAGACACATGAGCCTGTGTCTCGGGACTCTGGGACAGGAGGGCAGAGGACGTCGAGGACAGAGTGGTCGTGTTCTGGTAGGTCTTGAAGGAGAACTGGGGGCCCATCCACAACCTCCTGTGGGGCCCGACATGGGTGATGATTTCCACCTGTAGTACAAGGATAAGACTGACTGACTGAGTTTAGTTTTACGCCGCTTTTAGCAATATTCCAGCAATATCACGGCGGGGGACACCAGAAATGGGCTTAACACATTGTGCCCATGTGGGGAATCGAACCCGGGTCTTCGGCGTGACGAGCCAACGCTTTAACCACTAGGCTACCCCACCGCCCCCACAAGGATAAGAATTACATACAGTTCCCAAACTTATATATAATAGTAGCCGAAAGAAAATTTTCTAACATAATAAAGGCACTTTCAATTCTCTTAGCATCATCATCTCTATGTTCAATGAATAAGAAGTTTTGTTTTTAATTAAGGTCAAAAGCAGTTTACAATAGGTTTATGAGGAGTACCTGGGAAAGCCATTGTTCGTCAAGGTCATCCTTTGTGCTGTGATCAGAGGAGAGACTGTCTCTGGAGTCATGGCGAGATACTGGATCCATTTCAGACATGTCTGACAATTAGAGAGGGTTATGTAAAACGGGCTATCCAAGAGGTGAGGTGAGGTGAAATGGGGTTTAACGTCGTACTGAAGAATATTTCACTCATACGACGACGTGCATGTGTGTGTATGTGCGGCTGCTTGTACTAGCCTAGACTGAAGCTGGTTTTATAGTGCTAGCCCACTGAGATACCATGCCGCAGTGAAGCATGAATACCCCACTCAGACACAGTATACTGACTCAGAGCCGACCAGTCCTTGTTGGACCATTAATGCCGGGCGCCAGACAGGGAACAACAAGTACCATATTTTAACGTCTTTTGGTATGACACAGCCAGGGATCGAACCCGCGACCTTCCACTCTCTGGGCAGACCCTCTAACCACTACACCACGGAGGCAGTTTGCTATCCAAGATAAGCTGTATTACATGAACTATAATAAGCATGTGTTTAGAGATGGGGGAAGTTACTGATAGATGTGGAGGGGCTATATGTTTGCTCTGTGTGAAGGCCATGTCATGGGTGAGTGGTGGGGCTATACATGGGATGTATGTTAACACAAGACAGGGACTGACCTGGGAAGAGGGTGGGCTGCTGACTGACCACACTGTGGGTGGGGCTATACATGGGTATATGTTAACACAAGACAGGGACTGACCTGGGAAGAGGGTGGGCTGTTGACTGACCACACTGTGGGTGGGGCTATACATGGGATGTACATTAACACAAGACAGGGACTGACCTGGGAAGAGGGTGGGCTGCTGACTGACCACACTGTGGGTGGGGCTATACATGGGATGTATGTTAACACAAGACAGGGGCTGACCTGGGAAGAGGGTGGGCTGTTGACTGACCACACTGTGGGTGGGGCTATACATGGGATGTACATTAACACAAGACAGGGACTGACCTGGGAAGAGGGTGGGCTGTTGACTGACCACACTGTGGGTGGGGCTATACATGGGTATATGTTAACACAAGACAGGGACTGACCTGGGAAGAGGGTGGGCTGTTGACTTACCACACTGTGGGTGGGGCTATACATGGGTATATGTTAACACAAGACAGGGACTGACCTGGGAAGAGGGTGGGCTGCTGACTGACCACACTGTGGGTGGGGCTATACATGGGTATATGTTAACACAAGACAGGGACTGACCTGGGAAGAGGGTGGGCTGTTGACTTACCACACTGTGGGTGGGGCTATACATGGGTATATGTTAACACAAGACAGGGACTGACCTGGGAAGAGGGTGGGCTGCTGACTGACCACACTGTGGGTGGGGCTATACATGGGTATATGTTAACACAAGACAGGGACTGACCTGGGAAGAGGGTGGGCTGCTGACTGACCACACTGTGGGTGGGGCTATACATGGGATGTATGTTAACACAAGACAGGGACTGACCTGGGAAGAGGCTGCTGACTGACCACACTGTGGGTGGGGCTATACATAGGTATATGTTAACACAAGACAGGGACTGACCTGGGAAGAGGGTGGGCTGTTGACTGACCACACTGTGGGTGGGGCTATACATGGGCATATGTTAACACAAGACAGGGACTGACCTGGGAAGAGGGTGGGCTGTTGACTGACCACACTGTGGGTGGGGCTATACATGGGCATATGTTAACACAAGACAGGGACTGACCTGGGAAGAGGGTGGGCTGTTGACTGACCACACTCTGGGTGGGGCTATACATGGGCATATGTTAACACAAGACAGGGACTGACCTGGGAAGAGGGTGGGCTGCTGACTGACCACACTGTGGGTGGGGCTATACATGGGTATATGTTAACACAAGACAGGGACTGACCTGGGAAGAGGGTGGGCTGTTGACTGACCACACTGTGGGTGGGGCTATACATGGGATGTATGTTAACACAAGACAGGGACTGACCTGGGAAGAGGGTGGGCTGCTGACTGACCACACTGTGGGTGGGGCTATACATGGGATGTATGTTAACACAAGACAGGGACTGACCTGGGAAGAGGGTGGGCTGTTGACTGACCACACTGTGGGTGGGGCTATACATGGGATGTACATTAACACAAGACAGGGACTGACCTGGGAAGAGGGTGGGCTGCTGACTGACCACACTGTGGGTGGGGCTATACATGGGCATATGTTAACACAAGACAGGGACTGACCTGGGAAGAGGGTGGGCTGTTGACTGACCACACTGTGGGTGGGGCTATACATGGGCATATGATAACACAAGACAGGGGCTGACCTGGGAAGAGGGTGGGCTGTTGACTGACCACACTCTGGGTGGGGCTATACATGGGATGTACATTAACACAAGACAGGGACTGACCTGGGAAGAGGGTGGGCTGCTGACTGACCACAGCTTCACTGGCCACCACAAGAGGATTGCTGGGCTGCTGGGGCTTCACTTCTGTCGATGTTTTTGTTCTGAAAACAAACACAACTTCATAAGTCCTTTCAAACATGGCTGACACACTGATGCAGGACTGATTCCTATCCAACACACCAAGCATGATGACAAGATGGGTGGTGTTACTGCTGCACCTCTATATTTGACATCCCTTTCCATTCAGTACAGGTCTCTGCAGCATTAATATATATCTCTACATCATTTATGTCCATAAAGCAAGCAGCTTTGAGCCATGCCCATCTTGGGTAAGATTACAGAATAGCGGATACCTTCCACCATCTTTGAAAACTTCAGAACTGCACCACTTGACTCGAGTTTTTAGTCCTTCTCTATCTTAGTGTTCTTACTTTCTTAGCGCTTAAATACATAGAGAATACTACACGAGCTCTCATTACATACGAATTATACGAAACGAGTGTCCTTCCTATGGTATCTGACAGATACCATAGGAAGATCACGAAGATTCGTTATAATTGTATAATAATGAACCTAAATCAGGTATTTTTATTTATTACCCGTCTTACATGCATTAAATTGACAAAATAGCATATTTTTTTTATTTTTATGGTTTCAAACCAAAACCGGTTTCATAAAGAGGTTGCGGAAGAGTTTTGTACTGTAGTACAATATTTGCATGACGTCACACTGTAATGACGTCACTGCCTTGGTAACCGACGTCACGATGCATGTCAGTTGTCATCGCCTTTGTACAGCCTCCTACAGTAAACTACTCCGTAGCACCCCGTTTCTTGGTTTGCAGTTGCTTCATTCGGCTAACATCACTGGTGGAAACATTGTGTTTGTTTTTCGACGGATATAATGTCTCAGTTCAACTCACAATTAAACAGCCACACGACAACATTCGCAATGCTTACATTCCCACAATGCATTTAAGTTGTAGAATGAATGAATTCACGTGTTTGTTATGAATGAAAGAATAGTTACATCAGAATGTGACCTAATTGAGAGGTCATCGGTTATCCAATCAAATCGTTAGAATCTCAGGTCAAGTCGTTACGACACAGGTCAACGTGATACGACACTCGTGTGACGTACAAGAATAGTATGCAACTACCCATACGTTGACCACGTGGGTAATAACTGCTACTATCTTCTTTAGGGTTAATTTAACCAATATGGTTAGGGTTAGAGTTAGGGTTAGGCAACTTTCCCACACTCATTCGCTCCAACTCACAGAATTCTGTAGCTCTGTTTTTTCAAAGACACATATATTTTTTATTTGTGATAACTTACCTTTCATTTTCAAAATCGGTGGTTAGTTTTACTAACCGTAAGTTGTCCCAAATAATCTGATTTTAAAGGTTATTATTTATTATGAGGTTCCCTTATTTTTTCCAGTTTTATAGCTCATGCTTCCCTATTATAGAAGTGCACGTGACACTAAAGAATATGGTTGTTAGGTATCTGTTATTCTGTATCTTGACCCGCTCAGTGACAGGTCAGCTAAAGGTTGAGGAAAGTGTGGCACAGACTGTAGATGTTTACTACTTCAGTTAGCCATTAAGATGGTGCTGACTGAACAAGGATCAACATTAGAGAATCTTGGAATTTGAGTGAGTGAGTATGGTTTTACGGCGCTTTTATCAGTATTCCCGCAATATCACGGCGGGGGACACCAGAAATGGGCTTCACACATTGTACCCATGAGGGGAATCAAACCTGGGTCTTCAGCGTGACGAGCAAGCAGTTTAACCATCAGGCTACCCCACTGCCCCTCCAGCAATTTGAACCCATAACCAGACCATCATGGTATCCACATTGTCCCCACAACTGAACCAGTCAATTTTCACACACATATTTGTATAATATCAAATGGGGAAACTAATTAATTCACCTCTGTAACAACCACTGCAGTCTGCCAGCCACACCCAGATCTAGAGGACTGTCGTCTGCTACCCTGTCTCCTCCAGGCCGAGCCCGGGGTTCTAGACTGTACTCGATCAGACTCCCATGCTGCCCCATAACAAACAGGGACTCAGCTGGCTTCTTTGTACCCTCTGAAAAAACACCAGTAGCTTATCAAAAGTATATATTCCAATAGAGGTAGTCAATGAGCAACACTGAAAGACTTCCAGACTCTAAGAATCATGTGAGATTAATATGTCACTATACACGTGTAATCACAATGAAGTTCCCTTACTGTTTATAAGACCACAAGCCATACGTACTACTGGCAAACACATTCAGACATTGTTAAACTTAAAACCGATGTGTCCAACTAGGTGTAAAATGTGCCATATAAAATAGGGCTGGGACAATTCACTGATGCATCGATGCATCACGATACATCTAAGTTTGATACAGCTATCGTATCATCAACTGGTGTATCGATACAAAACAATACAAAACTTTTTTTAAAGGCAATATTATCTTAAACATGTTACAGTACTTATTTAGAGAAAAATACGCAAGTATGGTGGAGTTACTTGTTTGTTTATTACAATAGTGGTATTGTTAAACACAAATACCTTGAAATAAATAATTTTACATCTTGATACCGTGTCATTCTTTCAAGGTGTATGTATCGTGATACGTATCGTATCGCAGGTAAAATATCGCGATATGTATCGTATCATGACATAGTGTATCGTCCCAGCCCTAATATAAAAGTTCACAAAGGATCACATTTTTTATAGTAATATCTGTAGATCACCAGCTGAAAGTGAGCATGCTTTAGACTTAGTATACCCCTTAACTGCATATGTAACCCTTACTTAGTACTGCTTCAAAATATCAGAACATTAAACCATATTATTATCGAATGAGTATGACATATTAAGTAATATGAAAATCATAAAAAGTCTTTTTTCATCAAAAAGTCATATTTCACCATAATAAAAATAAAAATCAGCGTTTTCTATACTGTGAAAATATAAAGTAATTTTCTGACTAAAATTGATATCTTATACTTATCCTGACTCATGCTAATTATGCTTGTCTCCTTCCTCTTGCGAATGATAGTGGAACACTTGAAATCCCTTGACATTCCCTTTAAAAAAGCGGCCATAAAATCATTCACCCAGAGTAGCGTCCCTTCCTCCCTTTGGCGCCCTTTTGGTCACCTGACCGACCATGCCTTGTCACTCTCTCCGTACGAATGCCCGACACCCGGATTTACAGGGAAATCCAGAGTGCCATAAGAGGGGAGGTTGGGAGGGCTAACCTCATGAGTCAGGATAAGTATAAAATATCATAATTTAGTCAGAAAATTACATATTTTTCCTTATCCTGACTCATGCTAATTATGCTTGCAGAATCCGTCAGAAACAGTGGTGGGTCAGGCCACATTCTGGATTCACTGGTTGTAGATTTACGTCCTGTATTACCCCCCTTGGGAACTTATGACAGCACTGTTGAAGATTCTGTTCTTTCAACTTCTCTCGGATGAGTCTGGGGGGAACCACAACTTGTCAGATTTCTTCCGAAACTTCTCCTGACATTTTCGTGTGGATTTAGATATACTAATATTCCATTAGTTATCTATTGCAACTCCATCTCTTGATGCGCGCATCAAGTGGAGATGCGACCCTTCTTCATGTACGAGTATGTCCTATACAAGTACAGGGTCTATCACTCATGATAGTGTGTCCTAGACGTGTGCATGGACTTATAGCCATTGCTTTCCAGAGCGTTGGTTTTCACAAGTCACGTGATGAAAGGGGTGAGATTTACGGTGGAACCGTTAGTTGTGCTACAACAAGTGGCCCAAACTGGTGAATGCCTGAGACGTCTTCGGTGGCAATGTCTCTGAGGTAGTGGTTGGCAAACACTGTGTTCGATCTCCAAAAGCAGCCCTCCATTATAGTTGTAATCGAGCAGTTTCCATGCAGAGCAAGTGTTGACGCCAGGGCTCTGACTTCGTGTGGGTTGGAGGCTCATGGAGCTCAAGTCCTGCTGCTTTATAGGCCCTTAGTATAACGGCTCTCATCCAGATCGATATCGTTGTCCTAGAGACTTCCGTCTCAGTGGATAAGGGGATGAATAGGCGCTTGAATTTTCGTCTCCTTGTTTTAGTTCTCTGTAGGTAGACTTCAAGTGCTCTGAGTGGGCATAAGGATAGATCCTGCGTATCCTGTGGCCCAAGGACTGTAGATAGTGCTGGGATGTGGAACTGTCTGTCAGGCTGACCGAGCAGTTGGTTCTTGGCAATAAAATCCCATCTCAGTCCAAGATGTATGATGTCTTGTTTCAAGTCCAGAGCATGTATTTCTGACATCCGTGCAGCTGTTGCTAGGGCGATCAGGAACAGCGTTTTCTGAGTTACTAGCTCAAAGGATGTCCGTTCTAGAGGCTCGTAGGCATCACTGGTGAGATGTTGTAGCACTATGTTGAGATCCCAGGAAGGAGCCTTAAATTTCTTTTGTTGGTCTTCCAACTTGAACGAGCGTAGTAGTGCCGGAATCTCTGGTACTTTGGTCAGTTTGATACCCGTTTTCATGGGGATGTGTTGCTTTCACCACTGTAAAGCCTTTCCTCTTTGCATACTGTTCAAATTTCTGCCACTTGTGTCGTACAGGTTGCGAGTTGATCTGCATAGAGCTAGTGTAACTGCTTTAGCTGCTCTGGCGGAGTACCCTCTGGTCTTCAGGCAAGCTTTAATACGCTCCACAAGTGTAACTGGAACAGTGTCGGGTTCCCGTGAGCTTGCTTGGTGTGTGGATGGACGAGTAGGTTCGACCACTCTGGTAGTTTCAGGGGTGGACTTCCGAGGTCTTGTATGAGGACAGGAAACCATACCCTCGCTGGCCAATAGGGCGGCGCGACGAAAATCAGTTGCAACTTAGTCGTCTGCTAGATTTTCTGTAGTATTTGTGGTAGCAGTGCAGGAGGTGGAAACGCGTAAGCATTTAGTCCTTCCCATGAGATGCTTAGAGCATCTGTTGCCCATGCCTGAGGATCTTGAATCGGTGAGACGAATGTTGGTAGCTGTTTGTTGCACTTTGTTGCAAACAGGTCTATTAGTGGGGAACCTATAGCCTGTTTGATGAACTGGGCTGTCTGAACTAGGCTGGGCTGGGCTGATGAACTAGGCTGTCTAGGTGGGCGTTCACAAATACTTGTAGTGGCCCCAACTGTAGTCTCCCTCTGCGAGTCATGTCTTGAGCTAAGGTGAGTAGACCGAGCATGCTTTGCCAAGCACGTTGTGTCAACGGAGAGAGCATTGCTTGAGATATCATCTGTTGTATCTTGACCCAACGATCCTCTGGAACGACTATGCGATTCACTGGTCTGATGAGTCGAATTCCTAGAAATTGCAGATCTTGTTTCGGCTCCAGTTCCAACTTGAGGAGATTTACTAGCCATCCTAGTTGAGTGAGCAGCCTGAAGGTGAAAACTAGTTGCAGTCTGAGTTGACTGGGATCTTGATGAGCTTGAATCCTGTCGTCCAGGTAGAAAGCACTGCGTAGACCTCGACGATGTAAATATGTGACGATGGGCTTGGTCACACGAGTAAACAACCAGGGGCCGACGATATTCCAAATGGTAGAACCTTCCACTGCAAGTGATGTCTGTTGAACAGGAATCGTAGGTATTTCCTTGGGTGTGGCTGTATCGGGATGTGGAGGTACGCATCTTGCAGATCTCTGCTGGCGAGGTAGTCTGCTGAACGAACGAGATGTCAGAGCTGAGGAAGATGTATCATCTTAAATTTTGCTGGTCTGCGTAGATACTCCCGGTTGAACTTCCTCATGTTGTAGATGAGCCGAAATTTCTCCTTGGAATTCTTTTCGGTACCAGGAAAATTTGGGAGTAGAACCCGGGCGTGATGAGATCTTGATCTATCTCTTCTACTGCCTCTTTGTCGAGCAGGGTCTTGATAGCGTCGTCCAGTTTCTCTACCTGGTCGGCTGCATAGTTGAAGGCCATCGGGTTGCTTGTGAGCGGCGGGGTGGCTTCTAACTGTATCTTGTACCCTCTGCGTAGTATCTGGGACACATAGTCGTCTTGTAGAATTCCCCAATTTTCCCAGTATCGTTGAAAACGTCCACCCACTGTCGAAGGTTGTACAGGAACGGCTGGGGGTGGTCAACTCCAGTCGTTCCGAACCTAGCCTTCAGCGCTTGATTGCTCTTGCACCCCTAGGTGCTCGACCTCTTCCGCAGGGGTTACCTCTAGGAGCTCCGGTTGGGCGACGAAAGGAGCCTTTCCTCCTTTCATGCTGGAATACTTCTTTTCTCTGGCTCTCTGGACTCCTGCAAACTTGGATTTGTTGGCGAATCACGTTAGCCAAAGTGTCGATGGATTTAATCATCATAACCTCCCTTGAGTCATGAGAGACTTCTCTGGCGACTTCTTCAATTCCTCCTCCAAAGATGTAAGATGCTGACCATGGGGCTCTGTATAAGGACTTGGTGAAGTGTTCACTCCAAGTGCATGCTGACAATAACCCTTGTCTTCTCAGAAGAGTCAGGCCCGCTGATGTGGATGCTAAGTGTTCCGACATAAACTGATGATCCCTCTTCTGCATTAGTAGAGCGGAGTATATCATCTGGTCTTCTTCGGCGGAGGAATTCTTGAACTTCGAGATGAGTGTTTCGTTGATAGCCCTAGATCTGGCTAATCCGAAGAAGGTACGTCTGGTGGTTGTATCCAGCTGCGCTAACTTCTTATCCTCAATCTTGTAAGTTCTCTGACGGGAGTCGGTGATAATCTTGTAGTCATCATCCACCTCTGGAGCCTTCAGGAAGGGTTCCATCCTATGTAGAGGGAATTTCCTGGCATTGAACTTCGGGATGTGCTGACTCTGAGACTTGGTGGCTTTATCAAAAGCTGCATTGAGGTTGTCTGATACTTGAGAGATCGGGTCGATCGGTGGAAAGGTGAACGTGTCGAAATCATCGTTAGACATCTTGTAGGTAATCGCCTCATCTGTGTCCTTAGAAGGTGATGCTAAGTCAAAGCCATTGGCGATCCAGGAGTTAACTTCCGTATCGGAGAATATGCCTTCATCTTCTTCCTCTGATTTGGACATCTCTCGCTCTAAGGATCCACGATGACTTGAGTCTCTATGAGATGATCTGTATGAGGAGCTTCGCGCAGGCGAGCGATCCCGATGCGATCGTGTATCCTTTCTGGAGTCTTGAGATGATTCTTTAGGTCTTCGTGAAGGTGGGTTTCTGGACGTAGCTTCCCCTCTGTAGGAATGCCTTCACGCAGGTTCTCGATGGGCGTCAGAGTCCGATGGAGATGAAGACTCATATATGCGACATCTATGGGGTTCAGGGGACCGCCTCGATTTCTTCCTGTGTGGAGACTTCTTAGCAGCAATCTCTGGAGCGTCTACGGCTGAACTGACGGTAGCGGTGTCCAGACTCCTCACTTCAGATGGGGAAGATCGTCGTGTCCGTGAGCTTTCGCGCGGGTTTCCCTCTTGATCCGGATGCGGTGGAGAGAGTGTAGAACCTTCACTCAGTCTAGTAGTCGTTGTAGAGGTCTTCATAGCAGCCTTCTCCTGAGCGAAGCGACGTTCCATCATCGACATCATTTGGTCTGTAAACTGTTGCATGAACAGTCCCGGGTTGAAGTTCTGCGTTGTCTGAAGAGACTGCTGCAGCGATGATGCATCTGATACTGAAGAGATGTTATCTAAGGCTCGCTGCACTTGTGAAGAGTTGACGCTGCTGCTATTTCTGGTATGCGATGTCTGCGTTGATAGAAGGTCTTCTGTCAATGTCTGCGCTGATAACAATGTCGATGTAGCTGTAGAAGCAGGCTTCGTCTTCTTACTGACGATGGAGACTTCTGGTATGAGGATGGGTGGATCATCATAAACGTCTGCTTCTTCCGCAGGAACAATCTCGGCTGAGAAAGACCTCGTCTTCTGTGAGAGCTGAGCATAGACTTCGATGAAGTCTTCAAGGTAGTAGCCTTCCTCTTCTGCATAGAAGATGATTTAGCCTTCTTCATCTGCGACGAGGTCAGCTCAGTAGACGATGATCTCTTATGGCCTGCGGCGTTCACCACTGGTACAGCGACCTGCTCCCGAGAAACGTTTGGCAATTCACTGGAATTATGAATGTCTGCAGCAGTGGTTAACACACTGTTATCAGCGCAATCACTTGATTTAGACATGACTTGTGAATACCTACGTACCCAGTCCTTAGCACGTGTATGGATGGAAAAAAGGTAATTAGTAAATTCAACAGAGGTTAAATTTACACAAAACTTACAGCGAGAGCTGAAAGAACATGAAATAGTGCAATTAGGACATAATAAATGAGGGTCAGCCGCAGACACTCGGTACCTACAACGAATACAGGTTTTCATCAAATGTAAGCACAATGAAAACACAAGTCAAACAACGGAAAAGTTAGATCAAATTCCAAACCATAATGTAGAATATAATCCTAAAAACCGTAGACAGCAATAATTTTGATGCAAGGTCCGAAAATATAAAAGGATATGTGCCGTATAGGGACCCAGGTGCTCTCACAACCGTTCTCAAGGGCGAAGAAGGAGAGAGTGACAAGGCATGGTCGGTCAGGTGACCAAAAGGGCGCCAAAGGGAGGAAGGGACGCTACTCTGGGTGAGTGATTTTACGTCCACTTTTTTAAAGGGAACTTCAAGGGATTTCAAGTCTTCCACTATCATTCGCAAGAGGAAGGAGACAAGCATAATTAGCATGAGTCAGGATAAGGAAAAATAACCAGTATTTTTATGGGCCAGGGATGACGGAACTACTTTTGTCCAGAGCTACCACTCTTGGAAGTTGTCTCCCTTGGTTCACCTGCTGACAACTATTCTCTCAGTCAACCAAATAGTTTATTTCATGTATTTTGTCAAATATAATGTGTCTCCCATCTAGTGAAGGCTTAAAAACATATTTTCCATTGTTGTTTCACTACCCATGAAAATATGGCTTTCAGACTCGATGAGACACACAGCATATGTGACAAAACGCATGACATGTTGACCATCTAGATGAAGGCTTACACAATTTTGTAACCAATTAACCTGGGTATGTCAAATGAAATGAAAATGTATTTGTCGCTGCACATTGCTAAATATAGTATCATTTGAGTTGTTTGGATAGGACAATAGTGAGTGAGTGAGTGAAAGAGTGAGTGAGGAGGGAAGTGAGGGAGTGAGGGAAGGAGCGAGTGGGTTTAGTTTTATGCCACTTTTAGCAATATTCCAGCAATATCAAAGCAGGGGACACTAGAAATGGGCCTCACACATTGTACCCATGTTGGAATTTGTAAGAAGACTTTGTAAGGGGCTTGTACTGGGAAAAACAACACAGAAAACACTTGACTGATCCTTATTTAAAGACCACTCACCTCTCCTCTCCACAGTGAGATTCTGTGTCCCAATGGATGAGACCCTGGGTACAGCAAAGAAAGCGGCCACACTGAACATGCTGTCACTACTGGTGGCATGGGTGGGGCTCTGCTGCCTGCCCCCTGTCCCCACGCCAGGACCGATCCCTGGCAGGCTGAGCTGTTGTTTGAGCTGCGCCAGAGGGTAGATGGTTGTGGGGTGGGGGTAGGGGGGTAGGCGGGGGTTACCCATGTTGTTGTTCAGGGCGTTGTGTCGGATCAGGGTTGGGTACTGGTCTGGAATCCCTGCAAGTTAGAAAGTTCCATGTCAAGAAGAGCAACTCCTGATATACATATCTCAGCATGCTTGTTGTTTAATGTAGCATTCAGCAATATTCCAGCTATATAACAGCAGCCTTTAAACCATCAAGTCTCAACCAGATGATCCATCTCATGATCTATTGGACAATAACCAGACACAGTTAGCTTGCCATATAATGAGACACCAACAAACTTTAACACTTAGCTTTATCACCTGATCCAATTTAATCACCTACGACAAGCACCCATTACCCAGGACCTGTTCTAAGGTGGGGCCAACACTAAAAATGCAAAGGATCATTAACAGGGAAATAAAATAAACCAGTGCCTAATATTGGGCTTTAAGTTTCTTGTCCGTTATTGAAAGAGACTGAAACTACTTCAGCTTCTTTTTATTTCATATAAACTATACATTCAATTGAGAAATGACTTCAAATGAGACAACTTCAAGGAGAAAAAAAACTATTGCAATAGTTGGTCACAATAGACTATCGCTATCGCAATAGTCACCCCTATCAATCACCCTTAATTCCTTATATTTTTTACATAAGGTCAAACTGTAACTTCTCCATAACGCTGCTAACTGGCATGTTCCTGTGTTCAACAGGCAGCTCACACAGCAGGGTGGAGGCATCTTACAAATCCCTATTTCAGTCTATCACCAATAAGAATCATTGAAGCTGAGAATCAACAACTAAAAGTCAAATCATCAAAGTGACTAAATTCCATTATACAACCGCCACATTCTTCTACTGTGACTTCATCATGTACCTGACGAGCCAGGGCTGCCAGACAACACCGGACTTCGACGTCCGGGGGAGGCATGGTCAATCTCATCCAGACCAGCACTCTTGTGAAAGCGGCTCATCCTGTTGACCACTCGAGGGCTGCAGTGGGTTCTCATGCTCACAGCACCTGTAACAATACACACGGTCAGTGGGAGTCAGCAGGGTAACCACGTAACTATGGATTATGTCGGTTTGAAAATGGCAGCTCAAGTCCAATTAGTGCTGGTTTTGATATTTACCTAAAAAATTGTAGGTTGGTTAAATTGTAAATTATGTGAGTGAGTCGGGTTTTACAACACTGTTAGCAATATTCTAGCAATATCACAACGTGGGACACCATAAATGGGCTTCACACATTGTACCCATGTGTGGAATCGACCCCAGGTCTTCGGCACAACAAGCAAACGCTTCAACCACTATGCCACCCCACCGCCCTATAAACTTCCAAATAATTAAAGTGCAAAATAAGAAATGGATAAAACAAAAAATATAGGGTATAACTGTGACAAGGGACACAACTAGAAAGAAAAAAGACAGGGTAAATCAAGATGAGGATATAATATGGATAGATATTCTGACTAGCAATGGAGTGTTCCCTTACCTCCATATGGGGTGATAGGGAACACATGGGTTGTTCCCCTATGTGTTGTCACGGCAACCCAGCGAGTGTCAAGGGTGAAGGTGATGTCAATGACCTGAAAACCACAACAGATAAAAAATAACATTATTATCAAAAGTCCTCTCAACAAGTGAATATATTCCAGTGTTAGTGAGGAGCTACAGGGGTTGGCCATCAGGTGCAGTATGTGAATAGTACCAACCATCAGGTGCAGTATGTGAATAGTACCAACATTCAAAGACCTACCTTTGCTGTGGTATCTCCTCTGTGTAGTGTATACAGATGATGAACTGCCCCAAGTGAGGAGCTACAGGGGTGGGCCATCAGGTGCAGTATGTGAATAGTACCAACATTCAAAGACCTACCTTTGCTGTGGTATCCTCTGTGTAGTGTATACAGATGATGAACTGCCCCAAGTGAGGAGCTACAGGGGTGGGCCATCAGGCGGAAGATATGAAAGTTGTGTCCCAGTTTACAAGCAGTCAGGAGCAGTGTCCCGCTTTGATCAAAGCCCATAGCAGCAACCGGCTCGTTAGCATGTGCATGGAAGTGTGCAATCAGACCATCACAGTCTTGATCATCGTTCACATGGAACTGAAAGAAGAGAATATGTGAGTTGTCATTTCCTGGTTGAAAATTCATCAATATTTGTCACAAATGACATCTCGCTACCCATTTAGAACATGTAGAGTACATTTTAGGCTCAACTTTATCATACATACTCAATATAAACCAATATTATTGAAATCAATTACGGACCATACACCAAATTTTTAAAGAAAATATTTATTGATATATTTGAATTATCCAGGAAAACAAAATAGCAGGCGAGGTGAATGCTTCTGATATCTAGGTGATTCCACTCACATGGCTGCCTGTTACAGTCTGCATGTCAATGACGGACACAATCCCCGGCCTGTAGTTGTTGTCAACTTGGGAAGTTGTCTCCCCTTTCTTGGCACTCGGTGCAGTCTTGTTGCCGGTCACGCTGCTCATCATGGCTTCCCCAAACATCGTCAGGCCCTTGAACGCTCCCTGGTACAGGACAGAAACTTAGCTGAACAATTTGTCGAGACCTGACATGATTCTGGTTTATATCTCAATTCTGAGAGATCTCTTAAGATTATCATGGTCATGAAAAAAGGTGGTCAATATTTCATAAGAACTATCATTCGACCATGTCAAATAAAACGGATAAAAATGATAATAGTAATAACTGTATAAGCAACCATATACAGTCGAGCACCGTTGTCTCGATATTCATGGGACTAAGAAAAAATATCGAGTTATCCGAACTTCGAGACATCCAACCAGGTATATCATCACATATCACTATGAAAGAAAACAAAACAAAAAGTAGATTTCATGTATATTTATTTATACATTTATTTCTATTTATTATTCTGCCTTAACCACAATCATATGCCTTGGTACATTAATGTTGTTATCCCTAACTGTTTTAATCCATTTCAATACTGCCTCGCCTACATCAGCAAACTTAGCTGTGGGCATACGTTTTCTAGCTGGGTAGAAGGATGAGCTCTCAAATGCTTCTTTGATTTTATCAGAATTCTTTATCCATGTGGAAAATGTGTTCTGTGGAACGCCAAACTCTTTAGAAACAACTCAACAATCACATGCTAGTCACTTGATTAAACAAAACTCTCACTGGATTCTCAGTATGTTTTGATTCAAAACTATAATCCGTTATCAGTAGTGTTTAGTCGTAACAGAGAGTACTTCCTAATTAATTTCTTCTTAATCAATCCTAATTAAATATCAAACAAGAAGACAAAGTCATCAATATCCCCCGCAATGGCAAAATATTCTTCATGAATATGTCTACGAGTTATGATTATGTCAAATGTTTTGGTGTGTATATATAGCTAAGTGGAAGGAGAGTACTGAAAGGTTCTGCTCCAGAAAGGAACACTACCACCAAATTCAGTTGAAGCCAAAATTGTTGCCATGGAAACACACACAAAACGTTTTTATCCAGAAATCCAAAACTACCAAAAGGCCCCAGTTCACCACTAGACCTACCTATGTATGAAATCTGGTGATGAAACAGTGTACAGTTTTTAAGTTCTGTTCCGGACAAGAGCACTACTACCAATTTCAGTCTAAGTCAAACTTGTTGCCATGGAAACGCCAAAAATATTTTATTCAGAAATCCAACACTACCAAAAGGCACCAGTTCACCCCCAAACCTATCTATGTGCCAAGTCTGGTGAAGAAACATTTAACGGTTTTAGAGTTCTGCTCCGGAAAAGAGCACTGCCACCAATTTCAGTCTGTCAAACTTGTTGCCATGAAAACGCCAAAAATATTTTATTCATAAATCCAACACTACCAAAAGGCACCAGTTCACCACCAGATCTATCTATGTGCCAAGTTTGTCGAAGAAACATTAAATGGTTTAAGAGTTCTGCTCCGGAAAAGAGTACTACCACCAATTTCAGTCTAATTCAAACTTGTTGCCATGGAAACGCAAAAAATATTTTATTCAGAAATCCAAAACTACCAAAATGCACCAGTAGACCACCAGATCTATCTATATACCAAGTTTGGTGAAGAAATATTGAACGGTTTAAAAGTTATGCTCCGGAAAAAATAAATGTGCACGGGCGCACGCACGGATTTTAATACCCCCCAACAAGCGACACCTTCAAGTCAAATAGCCCTAATCAGTTTACTCTACCGCATTCCCTTTGATTCATGCCGCACCGTGTGTAAACGTGTGGAAACAACCTCAGTTCAGAGGGATGCTTGCCCATGAAAGGTAGGTGAATATCGAGTCTCTTTGCAACTATCGAGTTAAAAGGGTAATTTTGATTGTTGAGACCATGAAATTTTATTATATGACGGATAGATTTCCGCCCTTCTGATTGGCCCACTGGGTCACATGACAGCTTTGACGCTAAGCGATGTCAACCTTGCCACGTTGCGAGAGGTCGATATACCAATCCAAGCACCTCCCGTGGCTAAAAATAGATTTGGGATATTCCAGCTGTGAACTCCGCACTGCGTGCATCACGCTAGATAAGGAAGAGATAGACATCGCTTCGTCCCTGTGACTGTGTTGGTTTAGAGTTACATCCCCTCTGTATCAAATGGCAGATGACACGACACCACGAAGATTCATGACTGTGTATTCAAGGTATTCAGTACTTTTGTGATATAATAAAACAATTATTGACTTCAGTTCAGTTGATCCTGCCGAGGTGAATATCACACGCCCAAGGTCGATAAATCATTGGATCAACTGAACTGAAGTCAATAATTGTATAATATCGAGATATCCAAAATATTAAGACATCCGTATCGAGTTAAAAGAGCTTGAATAATAATAATTTATGAAGGATTTTGACGGGACCGAGAGGTTATATTAGAGTTCGCCAGAACAGTGCTCAACTGCCGTAACATACCATGATACCATGCTTAAGCTCAACATGGAAACCCCAGTGAAACACAGTAATACTTCTCCATGACAGCCAGTCCTTGTTCTATCCCCGAATGCTGAATAAGACAAGGTAACAAAAAGTACCATCTTTTAACATCATTTGCTATGACATTTCACTCTCCTCCACAACACTGTGGATCTGGTTTCAGGGACATCATCTCACCTTGGCTGCACTGATGACTGTGGCAGCGTAAGACTGGGCTCCGTCTCCTGACATCCCACCACACGACTGGTGCATCGACACCAGCTGAAGTCAAGAGCACAAACAAATTCACCATTAGAATTTCCAAACAACAAATTCTGACTAGAACATGATGCCTTGTTATTATTTCAACATTTTATTGTGTTTTCAATTCTGTTTCAAAAATACAATACCTGAATGAATATTCCAGTATACAAACACCCTTGGGTGGAAATGTCTTTAGTTTATGTCAAAGAAAATTGTCAGTTGCAAATTAGATTTGCTTTCTCTTATCTTGACAATGATTGGTTGCTAATGATACTGACAATAAAGGGTGGGTAATCTGAGATCGAGAAAACCACTAAAGGGATACAGGAATTAATGTAGGTCTACTGAAATGTGACATTAGGAGATATTGAGGACACATTAACTACCATCATACTTTCAATCAAAAAGATTTTTGAAGGCTTTCCTTGCACTTGTGTCAGTATTTCCAATATTGAATTCCATGCAAATTTGATCACAACCTGCCACTGACTCACACTCTGATAGGTATGTTGGACCAAGTGGTGTAGCCAATCAAATTGACAAATAGAAGTCAATGGCAGGTAATTTGTGAGTGAGTGAGTGTATAAGTGAGGTTAGATTTTTTCCGCCGCTTTTAGCAATATTCCAGCAATATTATGGGACACCAAAAATGGGCTTCAAACATTGTACCCATGTGGAGAATCGAAACCCGGGTCTTTGACGTGATGAGCAAACACTTTAACCACTAGATTACCTCACTGCACCACAAATGTAATTTTTGGAGTAAAATTGATATTTTATACTTATCCTGACTCATGCTCTTTTGCTTGTCTTCTTCTTCTTGCTAACATAGTGGAACACTTGTATCTCCCTAATTGAAGCTCCCTTCAATTTAAAATCACTAATTAGTATTCACCACGAAGTTACCTCCTTTCCACAAGCTGAACCAGGGGCCACCTCTACCCATGTGCCTCACTCTCTCCTCATATACTGAGCCCAACATTTGAATTTACAGGGAAATCCAAAGTGTTATTTGGGGAGGATGGGAGGGCTGACCTCATGAGTCAGGATAAGTATAAAATATCAATTTTACTCCAAAAATTTACATATTTTTCCTTATCCTGACTCATGCTCTTTTGTTTGTAGCATCCTAATGGAACGGAGGTGGGAATATCTAATACTTTGGATTTTTAATAATTAGTGATTTGAACTGTGATGATTGTAATAACCCTATGGGAACTTCATAAAGGCACTGAATTGATGAATTCCTGCTGCTAACTTATCAGCTGCCATATAAAAGGTTATTACCATGTACTTATTATGATAAAGTATATATAACATTAATACAATGCTTAAGACTAATAGACTTAAGCTTGTTAATATGCTAGTATAAACTCCTTAGAGTTTGTTAGCTAAAATACTTTAAGATATAACATAGTACTAAGCTTAAGATATGATTAAACTTAAGCTAATTATATAATAGCAAACTCTTTAGAGTTTGTTAGTTAATATACTTATATGATATAGATATAATGCTGAGCTTAAGATATGAATAAGCTTTAGCTACATATATAATAGCAAAACTCTGTAGAGTTTGTTAGCTAATATATTTTTATAATATGAGTATAGTACTGTGCTTAAGCTATAATTAACTTAAGCTACATATATAATAGCCAAACTCTGTAGAGTTTGTTAGCTAATATATTTTTATAATATGAGTATAGTACTGTGCTTAAGCTATAATTAACTTAAGCTACATATATAATAGCCAAACTCTGTAGAGTTTGTTAGCTAATATATATTTATAATATTAGTATAGTACTGAGCTTAAGATATAATTAACTTAAGCTACATATATATAGCAAAACTCTGTAGGGTTTTGTTAGCTAATATATTTTACAATATGAGTATAGTAGTGTGCTTAAGATATAATTAACTTAAGCTACATATATAATAGCAAAACCCGTGAGAGTTTGTTAGCTAATATATTTTACAATATGAGTATAGTAGTGTGCTTAAGATATAATGAACTTAAGCAACATATATAATAGCAGAACTCCTCAGAGAGTTTGTTAGCTAATATATTTTACAATATGAGTATAGTATTGTGCTTAAGATATTATTAACTTAAGCTACATATATAATAGCCAAAAACTCTGTAGAGTTTATTAGCTAATATGTTTATAGTGTAACCATAGTACTAAGCTTATAGTACTGAGCTTAAGTTATGATGAAACTTAAGCTATATATATATAATAACAAAACTCACGAAGTTTTGTTAGCTAATACCTTTATAATGTAACCATACTGCTTAAGATATGATGAAAACTTAAGCTAATTGTATAATAGCTTAAAACAACCCTTTAGAGTTTGTTAGCTATGATATAAACCTAGTATTGAGCTTATGAAGGAAAACTTAAGCTACATATATAATAGCAAGAACTCCAGAGAGTTTGTTAGCTAATACATGTTATAATGTAACTATAAAGCTTAAAATATGATGAAACTTAAGTTTAAATATATAATAGCAAAACCCTCTTTAGAGTTTTGATAGCTAATATACCTATATGATATAAACATAGTACTGCGCTTTAAGATATGAATAAGCTTTAAGTTACATATATAATAGCTAAAACTCTGTAGAGTTTGTTAGCTAATACATGTTATAATATAACCATATTGCTTAGAAATATGATGATACTTAAGCCAAATAGCAAAAACTCTTTAGAGTTTGTTAGCTAATCTACTTATATGATATAAACATAGTACTAAGCTTAAGATATGAATAAGCTTAAGCTACCTATATAATAGCAAAACTCCTTAGAGTTTGTTAGCCAATATATTTTAATAATATGAGTATAGTACTATGCTTAAGGTATAATTAGCTTAAGTTACCTATATAATAGTAAAACTCAGAGAGTTTGTTAGCTTAATTAACTTAAGCTATGTATAAAATAGCCAAAAACTCTGTAGAGTTTGTTAGCTGATGCATTTATCATGTAACCATAATATTACTCTTAAGATATGAATAACTTAAGGTAAATATATATAATAACAAACTCTGTAGAGTTGTTAACTTATATATTGTATGATGTAATAATCATAGTACTGTGATGATAAAAGGAACTTAAGTAAATTATATATAGCATGAAGCTATTTAGTATTGTTATAAGATAAGTAAAAATCTGTTAGATTGACTTATCTTCTCCGAGGAACTGTCAGCTGTTGTGCGAGGACCATGGGATCGAATTGGTGTATACCTGAGACGCCCTCGTGGTGATATCTCTCAGATAATGGTTTGCAACCACCATATCGGATCTCCAGAAATAAACCCTCCAATATTTCAATCACATTTGTGTGGAACAATTGTAGAAGTTAGCTTATAATATCATGAGTATTAAGCTCATGGAGGGTCGGAATAGGTCCATCCAAGATATGCACGTAGTATGACAGTTCTGATCCAAATGGAGATATAGTACATGAGACTTCTCTCATGCGTAAGTTGATGATAGAGGAAATAATCTGTTGCATTTTTACTCCTGTTTGGTTTGGTGGAGATAAATTTACAGTGCTCTTGCTGGCCATCTTGATAGAATCATCGTATCATGGGGTCCAAGTATGTCATCCAGGCGTTGTTCATAAACCTCACTTGTGAGGTGTTGGAGCACTATATTCATATCCCCAGGTTGGGCTGAAATTTCCGCTTATTCTCCAAACAGAAGTTTAGTAGGTTTACTAACCATCTAGTTGTGTTAGTCGCTTGATGAAATTCAGCTGTAGTCTGAAACGCTGTGGATTTAGATCCACTTGTATCTTCGCTCAGGTAATTCGCCGCTAAGTCCTTTGACGATGTAGGTGCACAACCAGGTGTGTCTGTCCTCGCTGAACTTTATGTAAAATCGCTTGACTGCCGCATCCCTCGCCTTAACTTGACAGGGGAGGTCTCTATCTTGAAGAAAGGCAGTCTAATCATGAATGTTCAGGTTAACTGGACTGTAATGAGGCTTGCTCGCTCACTGATATATAGTTGTCACTTGTGACGTAAGTCTTGAACTGTGAATAGAGATCGACCTCTGTGTAGGTCGCTGTCCCTCAAGGGTCCAATCAGAACAAGGCATTTTGATTCTGTATAATACCCGCCTGTGATGTCACCGTGTAGCGGGAAAACCCACCTTGAATAAATTCTTGTCGCCGTTGATATTAGCATAAACGCCGGTCTTCACCGTAGCTTCCCCGGTTATCCGAAAGTGACCACGGTTTCGAGGGTTAATGGTAACCGCTGAAACCTCCGCCAAATATCTCGCCTGTAATTTTATGCTGGGTAGGTTATTTTCCTGGTTGTCGGAAAGTAATTTCAGTTTTGAATATAATTCGACTTCCTTATATATAAGGGTATAAACAACTTGCAAGTTGTGAGCTTGTAGACTGTATACATGAATGTATCGCCATAATTGTAGAATTAACGTTGAACTTGTTGTACATATTTCTTCTCAGAAACTTTGACGATTAAGAGTTATACTCGCTGTAACAAGGCTGCTGTTCAATTTCGATATTGAATTGTTCGCAGATATGCGTAATGGTCACGCATGTAGATAATCGTGATCGCCGTCCGGGATTGTATATTAGCAATTTATAACGGAATAGTTGATTTCTGTGAAGATCTATGAAATGTCGCTGACTAATAATACAGCGACGCTCTGTGTTGTAAATAGCCTGAGCAATTATCTTCGCAGAGAGGCTTATAGATCGCATCTGGCATACAGTTGATAATCAACTTATGCGACGCCTTGAACGGACTGACGAAAGTAGCTATATATGACGAAAGTGGCTAGTATATGGAAACCTTTGAGGAGACTTCCTCGGTGAACGCTGAGACTTCGCTAAGTTCTCAAGCATCCCTTCTAGATCTTCTGGGTGAAGTAGACTTGAGTTATTTTAGCCTTCGCGACCATCGCTAAGGTGTCGAGTCAAAGCCCGATTAGTATATATATATATATATATATAAATATATATATGAGCTTTGTTTCGCGGAACAGCCTCTGTGTTTAACAGGATGTGGATCGGCGGCGCTTGCCTAAGTATGGCCGCATGGATCATCTTATCATATTCAGAAGTCGTGGTTACTTAAGTCTGGTGATAAGTGTCTAATTGATCGCTCTAGATCTATTTAGGCCAGCTTAACATACGCCTCGCCATGGATTCAACAGAACCAATATACGCATTGTAGTTCTTATACTTGATATCGATGATCAACTTGTCTATGGGTTGATCTTCTCGAGACTTGTGAGGGGAACGCTGATAGTTTCGCCAAGCTCTTGTATAGTCCCTCGATGTCCTTCTAGATGATGATGATCTGATTCAGGTGTCTCAAGCGATGCCTTCGCTGAAGCTTCCTCTGCGTCCGTCCGGGGAACGACGATATGACCTTCGCCAAGGCTTCCGCGGATGTCTGATGGTCCGAGTCCACATCTAGGGATGAAACCGCGATAAGGTGATGATCGATCCTGCCTTCGCTAAGTCCTTCGCAAGGCTGTACATCTAGGTTCTTTCCCCTTCCAAGGCTGTACATCTAGGTCCTTTCCGCTTCGCCAAGGCCTTCTAAGGCTGTACATCTAGGTCCTTCGCCAAGGTGGTCCGTGACTTCCTTCGCGAAGGTGACATCGCCCTGGCTGCTACGCTGACGGGGTGCCTCTGGGTGTTGTTCACGCTTGGAGCCTTCGCTGGTTGCTCGACCCTGCTACCGCAAGAGATATTGGTCCTCCATGATGTTCATAATTTGTCGCGATCATGTCTTCTGGGATGGTCTGCGACGCAGGTCGCCGGTGCTTTATCTGGCGTGTTAATGGAGGGGTCCACCGAAAATCGTCCGACATCAGTGTAGAGGCATCAGGCTGCATGGTGATCTCTGCTGATGTCGTTGTAGCTGTCCCCGGTCGCTTCTTGTGGCGACGCCGGGATGATGATCAGCTGATCATCGAGAGGTCCAGGTCATCGGCTGGAACAATCTCTCGCTGAGAAAGTCCTAGTAGACTTCGCTGATTTTCCTCAGAGGTCGACGCTGCCCTGGGTGTGCGACGCCTGGCGCTGAGTGTTGGTAATGATGGGGACCTCAGGACGATCATCGCGATATCTGGCGCTTGGTACATCAGGCTGCATGCTGATCTGTGCCGACATCGGTCAATCTTTGATGTACATCCGTATGATGACCGGCTGATCATCATACAGGCCCAAACTTCGGATGGGAACGGTCTCGTTGTTGAGATGTAGTAGAAAACCCTCTAGTCTTCTGCTGCGACGATGGGATGTCTGGGGAAGCAGAATGCTTCTTGAGATGGCGGACTACGCCCCACACCTCTCCACCACTCTAGCGAACACCACACGGAGGGGAGTCGGCCAACAGCAGTAGACTGGCTTAGGGTTCCGTATCAGTCATACTAGACTCTGCATACGCCGACCTATCTGCAAAGCGCGTACAAACGCAAAGTAAATATTAATAAAGAGGTAGAATTGATAAATTAGTACCGCGAACTGCAATGTGAATATAATAAACATGGCCGCCGCACATCATATTAAAGGTGGATCAGCAGCAGCATAAAAACGTAATCTGCAATAGTACAGAATTTTCATCAACGTAATCCACTGAAACAAACACGGGCCCCGTGAATAAACTGTAGAAAAACCACTAAATATCAATATATAATCGTTGAAGGATACTAGCTAAACCTCTATAGATGTCTATAACGAGGTAACTAACTAAATATAATCAAAGGATATAGTGTGTCGGAGACACAGGGCGCCTCACGCCCAGCTCACTGGGCTAAGAAGGAGAGAGTGAGGCACATGGGTAGAGGTGGCTCTCGCTCCCCGCTTGCTTGTGGAAAGGAGGTAACTCGTGGTGAATACTAATTAGTGATTTTAAATTGAAGGAGCTTCAATTAGGGAGATACAAGTGTTCCACTATGTTCGCAAGAAGAAGAAGACAAGCAAAAAGAGCATGAGTCAGGATAAGGAAAAAACAGGTGTTTGTTTACAAAAGTGACAACCCAGAAATTAGAATTAACCATTCAACCTGTTTACAAATCTTACCAATAAATATAACTCATAAATAAAAGGATTGTCAGCAAAGTTGAAAACATGTTCAATGTTAAGTAAAGAAATGTTGACAATTTTATTATACACATGTTGCTAATATAATCGCCAGTATTAAATGTCATCAGGTGATGGAACATAAACTTGGTGATGAGCTACTGACCTGACACCCAGAACAGCTCGCGGAACTGACACGTCTCATACACTGCCAGCTTCTCTTGAAACACAACCACAAGGAACCTGGAGAATATGTTGAATAACAAAATAAATTACAAATAGGACAATAGGGAAATAAGACCGAAATGAAATTCAGTTGACCCATTAGTGAGTGAGTGAGTGAGTTTAGTTTTATTCTGCACTCAGCAATATTCCAGCTACATGGGGGCAGTCTGTAAATAATCGAGTCTGGACCAGACAATCAAGTGATCAACAGCATGAGCATCGATCTGCGCAGTTGGGAACCGATGACATGCGAGTTGACCCAACAGAATAGCAATGCTCCATCTGTTCGAGCACAGCTGAAGGATCCTGTCATGTGTCGGACAATTATACCCGGATGCTGTACTCAAAAACATATACACTTTATAAAATACTGCTATATTTCCTTCACCTCATCCTTTGTTTCATCATCTCAGCATCCTGATATGCTGTCAATTGTCTTCAGTCTCCGCGTATAACACACTTACCAGACATAGCCTGAGAGTTGTCCTCACATGTCACCTGATGTCACTCACCTTTTGTTACACTCTATGTTGAGGACTGGCAGTGTCTTGAAGGAGATGTGGTGGACCTCGTCTCCCGATCTCAGTGAGACTAGCTTCACACTACAGAAAGGCTGACCAGCACTGGAACACAATGCAACTATCACCACATGGATGTACAAAATAATTGGTAGCAGACAGAATGGTGATTAAAGTGTCATCCATCATGACAAGGTTGGAGTGAGTGAGTAAGTGAGTTTAGTTTTACGCCGCACTCAGCAATATTCCAGCTATATGGCAGTGGTCTGTAAATAATCGAGTCTGGACCAGACAATCCAATGATCAACAGCATGAGCATCGATCTGCGCAATTGGGAACCGATGACAAGGTTGGTTGGTTGGTTGGTTGGTTAACGCTGCTCTCAGCAATATTTCAGCTACATAGCAGTGGTCTGTAAATAATCAAGTCTGGACCAGACAATCCAGTGATCAACAGCATGAGCATCTATCTACACAAGTGGGATACGATGACATGTGTCAACCAAGTCAGCGAGTCTGACCACCCGATCCCACTAGTCACCTCTTACAACAAGCATGGGTTGCTGAAGACCAATTCTAACCAGCATCTTCATGTGTACATGGCAAGGACCCAAGTTTGATTCCCCAAAGGGCTGAACTAAATGAATGAGGCTCATTTCTGGTGTGACCCTGGTGTATTGTGAAGGGTATGTTATTATGATTATGGTGTACCGATGCCCGATTAACCTGTTAACCCCATACTCCAATGTCCCCCAACTCATTTATAACAAATGTAGGGAAATAATAAACATGAATGACATTTTCAGTTTTTCATCTATTGATAAGTAAGCATATTTTCCTGAGATATAATCACCAGACAAAAGGATTGTTTTTCTCAATATCTTAAAAATTTCTGATGAACTGCATGAATCTATTAATTGTCGTAGATGACATTTTGATATACTGTTTGTTTTGTTTAACACAGCATGTAATTCTATGATGTCTGTAGACGAACCAGAGATGGGAGTGAGTGAGTGAGTTTGGTTTTACGCCGCTTTTGGCAATATTTCAGCAATATCATGGCGGGGGACACAAGAAAGGCGCTTCACACATTGTGCCTATGTGGGGAATCGAACCCGGGTCTTCGGCGTGATGAGCCAACACTTTAACCACTAGGCTAACCCACCGCCCTGAACCAGTGATGGATCTTGTGAGCATGTAACTGAACAAGCAATGGGCCGAAACATCCCAGTCCATGAAGTCGCCACTTACAACATGCATAGGATGCATAGCTTCAACAGGAATCAGGATTCTCTAAACGGTTCTGACATTAGAATTAGTTTGGGGCATGTTGGTATAGTGTCTTGCGAAATATTCATCTCACAACAACTTTGAATGTGTGTAGTTGAAACATGGTACATGATGCGATCACACGTGTGATGGGACGTACCTTGAGGAGTCACACATGGCAAACAGGGGTCGCTTTCCACCGAAGGAGTCAATATCTGCAAACACTGCAACAAATTTCAAATCTTGAACCATTTACAACAAAGTGCTTATTATTCTGACAGAGTTGTCGTATGACATGCATCATTGTGAGGTGAGGTGAGGTGACATTGGGTTTAACGTCGTGCTTGAGAATATTTCGCTCATATGACGACATGCATGCGTGTGTATGTGTATGTGCGGCTGCTTGTACTAGCCCAGACTGAAGCTGGTTTTATAGTGCTAGCCCACTGAGATACCATGACACAGTATGGCGTTAATACCCCACTCAGACACATTATACTGACTCCGAGCCGACCAGTCCTTGTTGTACCCATTAATGCCGAGAGCCAGGCAGGGACCAACAAGTTCCATATTTTAACGTCTTTTGGTATGACGCGGCTGGGGATCAAACCCGCAACCTTCCTCTCTCCTGGGGGACGCTCTAACCACTACACCTTGGAGGCGGTCCCCATCATTGTAAGGACTTATCTGGAGTGGAGATAGGGGAGGATTTCCTACTGGGTCTAAATATGTTTTCAATGAACTCTTTCAACATTATCAATTTTCATTTCAACATAAGCTTTTCAGAGCTTTCATTTTTTATGAAACTCAATCCCTCATTCCAAACTAAGAATATCAAGAGGTCCCCCTTATTCAGCTGTGCAACACAGGCCGACTGAGGAGGAGATGGGTAGATCAAACATATCAGTCAGTATCTTCTTGTCCGTGCCACATTGAAGGCTTAGGGACCGATCATAACTTATGGCAAGGGGGGTGGTGGGTGGGGGTTGTGATGATTTTTATGGAGAAGCATGTACAATGAGAATGCCCACCCCCACCACCCTAAAATTTATGTCCAAAGTAAGTCACTCTCCCTGCATGTCATGTACAAAATCAATGCCCCCGCCTAATTTTTAAGCGTTTTTATGTGCAAAATTGCTGGTCACACCCCTACTTCCCAAGTACACGTGCACAAAATTGAGGACCCCACAACCACCTCCCGAGAACAAAATGGGTGACCCCCTTAAAATCATTATCACACACCCCATCATTAATTATGAACGGTCCCTTAAATTGGGGGAAACCAAGATGATACTTCTTTCAAAATATTTTGTTTTGTTTGTAAAAATCCTGCTAATTTGAACAACTCCACACACATGGTACAGACACAAAGTAACATCCAAGGTAATTCTGTATTAGAAGTTTATCACTGTTGAAAGGGTTGCCATGGTGACTAGTATTTCATGTTTAATTACAGTTAAGAGCGACATCAGGAACACATTTTCAAAAACAAAACTGTGCTGCTACAAGCCAATAATTACATGTTCATGTCTGTGAGACAATAATCTGGTTGAATGTTTAACAGATAGGCTTAACATTCATTACACACACATTAAAAGTAATTTCAAAACTTAAAGGAGAATACGAGTGAATCGCAATAATTTGCTGGGTGAAAGATAAAGTCATTAGAAACATATTCCAAAATTTTCAATTAAAAATTATGTATAATTATGTTTTAATTGCGAAAACAGTTTCTATAAATCCGCCATATTGCCAAAGACCAAGCGCTACAGTAGTACAAATCGTGTTGTTTCTGTCGTTTTGTAAATGGTACGATGGTGTATTCTGTTGCCTGGGGATGCACGGAATCATTGAACAATGGAAAGCCACCATTTCTTCCGTTTTCCAAGTAAAGAGACAGACTTAGGCAGGAGAAAAGCTCCGATCATTCCGAGTCGGACGCATATGAAAGAGACAAGCACACATGGGGCATACAAATCCCAAAGCTAGGCTGAAGAAGGAAGAATTACCCACGAGATTCATTTATACTCCATCATTCCCTGTTACAGCTTACTGTCAGAGGTATTTTAAACATAAATTAAATCAAGTACGATTGCCAGTCGAATTGCCCCACTGCAAATTGCCCCAGGAAATTTGGTCAAATTGCCCCGGAGTTTTGGTCAAATTGCCCCAGTGGGGTAGTTAAAATGCCCCAATTTATTTAAAATGATTAAATATAGGCCATAAATGCATAGTTTTGTCAACTTTGATATTCTGTTCTTCTGATGGAACATTTATCAGAAATATTACTTCTTAAAAACTTTTATATGAAGAATATAATATCAAATTTGACAAAACCTATGCATTTACGGCATATATTTAATTATCTTAAATAAATTTGACCAAATTAGAATGAATGACCAAATTTGCTGGGGCATTTTGTAGCTGGGGCAGTTCCACTGGTACCCATGAGATATATATTATCAAAATCAGTAAGAGATTTCACATGAGCTTGAAAATGTTTCGCTATGACGTTCTTTTCGGTTTGGAGCCCTAAATGCTGCAGACTACCCGAATCATTGCCAAATACAACGGCAAATCATGCAGTACTTGTTGCTTTCATTGTTTTCCATTTTTTCCAACTACGTATGTCGGCATCAGACTCGCTATTTGTCAGTAGTGTGTGCCGTGAAAGTTGTTCTGTGTTCACATTGGCTGACAAGATGCCATTCTAAGGCTATGACCGAGTACCATAACTATTTCCAAAACCAAACACTGGGGAAACATACATTGTCCTGACTAGTGTTTTATAATTCACCAGTGTTCGGGGAAGAACTTATCTGCTTCGCGAATATTATCTCTGCTCGACCAGGCTGGGATTTTGTGTGGAGACTCGCTACGTTATTAATGAGAACTAGGATCCTAAATCTTTTTCAACAAAATAACTCCAGTGTAATTTTTGTAGCAGATAATTTCTATTTTCCCCCGTCTGAAGCATAATTATTGTGTTTTTAAATCCTAGACACCCTACAATCATCCATTTGACACAAAAGGAATTGCACTCACATTCAAAAAATATAATTCTTAGGGACTGGTCATATACTTATAGGGGTGGTTTTGCTGGTTGGAACTGTATCACATTTTGCTGTCAAAAAGTATTCTTGTTAAATGATATGGTACATTTTTTAATTTATTTTGAACTCAAGCGGTGCCTCCGTTTCGCTGGATTCTTCTTCTTCATCTTCACTGGAAGATTGTCTTGCAAGATGTAAAATCGGATCGTATTGATACAGTCTAATATCCATTTCAGAAATGACATCAGGAACACCTTTTACTGCTTCAGAATCGGTGGACACTGTTAAGTTGTGAGGTAAAATCAAAGAGACAGACATCAGCAACAGGCACATATGATGTCATGTCACATGATACCCCCTCTGCTCATTAACTGTCGGGTGTTTCCGCAAAAGGCGGAAATACGAGTACGTTTTTTGTGGTTTTATTGCTATTTTACAAACTTTTTGTTCAATTTTAATCACGGAAGGTGACTTTTAGAATTTCCTTTACAACATATCAAAGTTTTGTTTTCGTTCGATTCTCCTTTAAATGTGGTATTGCACAAGGAAAACATCTCTACAAAGGGAGATAACTCATTACCTGGTTCAGGTGTTGGTAAAACCCGTAGTATCCTCACTGGTCCCTGTCGGAGCGACACCACTTCCTGTGCCTCTCCATTGCTCTGAAGATGAAAAAAACTCCATAAAATTCAAGCAAACAAATCTCCTTGATCTATGTTCTATGAGTTTAAACATGATAAAGAGTTGCTCATGCAAAATTGTAGTCCTATAGCTAGATTCCTATTATCCAAGCAACACTTCACTTCCAAACCATTGTTGGGCTGTAGCAGCAAGATGGACAGAAGGCAAGACTTTACCAGACACACTACTGGGCCTAGATTTTTAAGCTCTCTTAGCAAGATAAGATAGTAACATTAACTTAGTGCCATAGTGCTTAACATTAACTACCCTGGACTCAGTCTTGATGATGATAGTGCTAATAGATGCAAATTGTATTAACTCTCGACTCCATGGGTTCAAAAAATATATATCTGATAATATCCTTAATAGCAGTGAAACCTAATTGATATTCTCTTGTCGTAAGTGAAATGGGGTGCTAGTGGTTAAAGTGTTCACTTGTTACACTGAATACACAGGTTTGACTTGACACAATGTGTGAAGCCCATTCCTGTTGTTCCTCGCCATGATATTGCTGGAACATTGCTAAAGAAGTGTAAACCCATCCTCACTCACTGATAAGAATAGACCTAAAAACTTCAAAATTAGGACAGGCCATTTCCCATGTCCTTCGTGCAATCACAAATTTTCTGTTTCTGAGCATGTTTAATGTCATGCTGTCATGTGAAGAGAGTCACATGTCACCAGTCTGGTCACAGCTGAAAATGGAGCATGTTGGAAGGAACATTTGTGTCCAGTAAGTTTCGATTTCATTTCTGCAAAATTTCCAGAACAAAAGTGGTCAAGAAATTGTCCCATGAGCCCATGAATAAACCTGTCATTAAGATCGAGCAGAGTATACTTAGTGTTCACCTGATGCAACCTCCCATGAAGGTTTTCTCAGAACTCATAAAAAGTAATCCTGTCAGAGTGAATTATTAAAATCTAAATATTTTAGATATTTAAATACTTACCTTACCATAGGTCTTATGCATATTACCTCAAGCTCCGCTTAAAGAGATCAGACAGTCGTTGATTCGCCATTCTATAGAACGGCCACCTCGTATCGACGAGTGTACAGGCAACGGAAGTGACGTGATCTCCCCTCCCGCGCAAGCGCGGTCCATCCAAAATCACTTTTACTGACCAGGTCCGAAGAGCCCAGAGAGGGGAGGAGCATCCAGCGTTGGGAGGGAGTTACCGCCCTATGGTAAGGTAAGCATTTAAATATCTAAAATATTTAGATTTTAATAAATTTTAACTTACCTTACCATAGGTCTTATGCATATGGATTCGACAGTAGGACGGCGGTGTCGGGCTCCAGAGGACCGGCCCCATTTAAAACCAACATGCCAAGGGAAAACCAGAAGAAACTACTGAATCGCCAGACTGTCGTGAGGAGGCGCCTGGAACAGGAGACAGATAGTAACTAAAGGCAACCCTAAGGAAAACAAATACACCCAAAGTGTAAGTTAACCTGAAGACCAGAAGGTAAGAAGAAGTAGTTACCTAATGGGCGGTAGGACGGGTGAGTTGCTGAGCAACCACCAGTGGACCAAACGATTGAAGACCTTCCACGCCCCTCGACGCCAAATCCCATGCAGGTAATGACTAGCGAAGACAGTAGAGGACTTCCAAAAACAACCCTCCATGATGGCTGGAACGGTGCAGTTTCTGTGGAGAGCCATGGTGGATGCCAGAGCCCTAATCTCTGGCGCGGATTATTGGCTGTAGGATGAGGCAGATCTTGGCGCATCGTGAGGGCGGTCAGGATGGTAGTATCGGAGCCAGAGCGCAAGCGTGATTCTTATTAACTTCACCTTTGGCCACAGAAGACAACGGATGAACAGTCTCTACTTGAGACTGCCTCCTGAAGAAGATGACTTGGCAATATAAATCTTAAGTGCCCTCACGGGACAAAGCAGCTGTTCCTCAGCGCCGTGGAGGTCCTAGAATGGAAGACAAAGGAGGGATGGAGAAGATCCTATCCGGGTTGTCCCCGCAGCTGGTTCTGGCCACGAAATCCAAAGCAGTCCGAGATGAACAAGACCATGCCGTGACTGCTCAAAACGCACCCTGGTGACATCCAATGCGCGGATCTCACTAACCCTAGCTGCTGTGGCCAGGGCCAAGAGAAAGGCTGTCTTCCTGGAGAGGTTCTCAAAAGAAGCCGGTCCAAGGGCTCATAAGGGGACCTCTCAGATGATCTAAGAATCCATCGCTTAGGTCCCAAGCCGGAGGACGGAGCTTTGCCTTCTGGTCCTCCAGCTTAAACGCTTTGAGGACGGGCGGCGAGTTCTGGCACCTTGGAAATCTTTTTTGTCGCGACTTGACCGCCAGAACGGAGTTAAGAGCCGATAAATAAGTTCCTATAGTGTTGCCCTTTGAGACGCCGGGACTTCGAAGAAAGAGAAGGAACTCTGCTATAAACTGAGGAGAAGCCTTCAACGGGTCCTTGGACTTCTGTGCACAAAACTTCTCAAAAGAAACCCACTTATCATCATAGAGTGATCTTGTGGAGACTTCGATGAGCACAAGCAATAACCTTGGCGACACCCGCGGAGAAGCCCTTGGCCTTCAGCCTTTTGCAGATGATCCAACCGCACAGATGAAACCGAAGTCGGATCGATGCCACTGTCGACTGTGGGGATGCCTGAGCAGGTGAGGCCAGTCTGGTAACTGTTATGGACTTCTTTCGGCAGACGGGGCGAGATCTGGAACCAGGTTCTGGCTGGCCACCAAGGCGACGACAAAAGCAGACTTAATCGCTCTCTGTCCGCTGACCTTTGCTATTACCGCTGGCAACAGAACTGGTGGTGGAAAGGCGTACACGTCCAGACCCTCCCACGACAAGGACATGGCGTCGACCGCCCATGCCGCTGGATCTGGAATCGGAGACACGTACAACGGCAGCTGTGTGTTGAAGCGAGTCGCAAACAGGTCGATCAGAGGGCGGCCGTGACTGTGACAAAGAAGTTTGAACGCTTCTGGATGTAGCATCCACTCTGTTGGAGACGGTTTGCCCGGCCTTGAGAGAGCCGCCTGCCAAAACGTTCTTGCACCCTGGGATGTGTCGGGCTCTGGCGCTGATGCCATTGTCGTCCAGGAGACTGGCCAGCTGGAACGTCTGCTCCAACAACTGTTTGGACCTGGTCGTTCCCTGATTGTGAATCAACCACACCACCGTGGAATTGTCCGACGCTATCAGGAGCCTGGTGTTCCGCAACAGAGGCACCCAGTGTCGAACCGCTAAAATGACTGCTTGCAGCTCCAAGTTGTTGATGTGCCATCCTAGCTCGGTGCCTGACCACAGCCCGAGGTGGTCTGGTCGCTGAGGTGAGCACCCCAACCTTGAAGAGACGCGATCTACTTAACAGTTCGTGATCGTGAACAAACTCTGTCAAGGAGACTCCTGCGCAGACGTTCGACTCGACAGTCCACCAACGGAGGTAAGCGTGGAGATGCAGGGGCAAAAGGAACCTCATCTGAAGGTCGTCCGCCTGGATGTAAGGCAACAGGAAGCGCTGTAACGGGCCAAGCATCAAGTTTAACCTCTGAGCCAAGTCCTGGGCTGAGGTGAGGAGACCTAAGAGGGACTGCCACTCCCTGAGCACGAAGCGGCTGGGATAGACCTCGGTTGGCTTAAACTGACAATCTTTCTCCAGCGATCTAGCGGAATCCTGACAAGGTCGCAATGTGTCAGGAAGAGGCCTCCTATAAACGTCAGTTCCTGGACGGCTCCAGGTGGGATTTGTCTATGTTGATAATCCATCCCAGTTGCTGCAAGAGATGAATGGCAAAGTGCATCTGTTTGCGGAAGCAACTGAGGGTCGAGGGTGGTTCATGAGACAGTCGCCTATATAAGGGTCAAGTCGATGCCCCTGAGATGGAGGAACCGGGTGATCGGCGAGGTAATCCGGTAAAAGCCACGGGCCGTGGAAATTCCAAATGGAAGCACTTTCCACTGGTAGTGGGGACCCGCTGAAAAAGAACCTCAGGTACTTTCTGTGACGGTGGTAAATGGGCACATGCAGGTAGGCATCCTGAAGGTCGAGGCTGGCCAACCAGACCCTGGGCGCAAGCTTGGCTCAGAAGCTGTTCCAGGGACACCATGCGCGGAAGTGAGGCGGTTCAAAGATAAAGGTGGTTGAAAACTGCCATGTTGTGAATCATGCGTAGTTCCCCTGAGTCCTTCTTGGGAACCAGGAAGATTGGTGAGTAGAACCCCGGGACTGTCGGGGTCTAGCACTGTCTCTATAGCTTGTTTGGCGTAACAGAGTGTGGATGCTGTCTGCTAGCAGTAACTGTTGGTCTGGAGCATACACACGCGACTGGGGCGTTGAAGTCAGAGGCGCGACATGGCGCATTGGCAGTTTGTAACCCGGTCCTGAGAATGTTGGTGATAAACGGGTCTTCCAGGATTGTCCAATTGGGCCAGAAGATCCCCAGTCTCCGCCTACTGGAGTAGGATCGAACCGCACGACTGGGGCGGGAGGTCCCAATCGTGTTGGGTCGCAACTTCAGCGGCATCGGTAAGGCGCCTCCCCTACCTTCTGCCGGGCGTCGAAGGGGTCCCGGGACGATCCTGCTGACGGGCGCTGAAAAACAGGTTCGGATCTGCCACGCCACGCCCCTTCTGCCAGAGGCGCCGCCGGACGGAGTCTCTTCGACGCAACGGCGCTTCCTCTACCCCTTGCAGATGATCTGCCACGAAGGCCGAACTCAAAGCTTGAACGTAGAGACAAAGAAAACCTCCGTATTGGTAAGCTCTGCGTGTTCCTTATACACCTCGAATGCCGCCATTAAAGAGGAAACGAGACGCTAAAAGGGGCTCTTAACAGTTTCCCTTTAAACTCTTCCTGCCAAGAACAGGGCTCCAGGAAACCCATCCAACCAACAACCGCGTTGTCATGGCCAGAGCAGCCGGAGTGCGCCAGCAAATCATGCAACACCTTGCCCTGCCATTGAAACAGGGTGGTAAGATGTTCTAACCTTGACGTGTTGTCTTCCGGTCAGATCCCAAGCAGCAGCCGGTTGCCGGGGCTAACGCTGATACCGGCTTCAACATCCGCTTTGAGTTCTGCATCAATGGCCAACATCTTGGAGTCCTGCACTCGGTAGGATGCCTGTGGGGAAGCCGATAAGCGCTTGAGGGACTCGTCATGAGCCGCGCCTCCATCGGCAAAATCCAAACTATGAATCTTGTAATCCCCTTTGCGTGACTTAGGAGCCTTTATCGTGGTATTGAGAGACAAAGTAGCAAAATCAGCGTCCAAAGAAGCCACAGCATCGGCCACCATCGGGTGAGGCGGGAGGAGTAACTCCGGAGAAGACCGAATAGCCTTCGGGTCGGTCGAACCTGAAGAGGGAGAAGGACAATCCGGCAGTCTGTCAGCAATCCAGTCGAACACAGCAGAGAGAGGGAGGTAGGTGCCCCCATCATCATCATCCTCTTGCAACATTTCCTCATTATAATCGGGAGAAAAATAGCGCTCCTCAGTGTCCTCCCAGGACACGGTAGGAGCAGTAAATCGTTGACCCGAAGCAGCAGGCTTCGGTGGGCGCACCGATGACAATTGAGAAGCAGCACTCAAAGTAACTGTCGGGGAACGTGGACGTCGCGGCGAGCGGCGAACAGGAGGTGACCTTGAACGGACCAACGGTATCGCCTACCACGCGATCGGTGACCGGTGGAGCTCTCTCCCTATCCTTGGAACGCACGGGAGAGCTGAGACCTTGAGTCAGACCGACGACGGGCGAAGAGAAGTATCCGAACTAAGACGAGGACTCCTAGACCCGATGATGCTGCCGAGGAGACCTGGAACGAGATCGTCGAGAACGATGGGAACGCCGGGCGCCCTGACGCCGGGAACGCTTCTTCCATTAACTGACGCTGTGGTTCTCTCTCTAGACACTGTAGCCTTCCTGGGGATACGGTAGTCTGCCAAAGCGCCGGAGTTGGCGCTGGCGCTGGCGCTGGCCGGTACAGGTCGGGCATGGTATCGGGCGGCCGGCGTCCCGATATGGGCCGGGCGAGGCATCGACGCTGGTTGAATCAACAAGTCAGCAACTGGAGAATCAAAGTGCCACAGGCGCCGCAGCGCGAGGGACAAAGCTAGGCAACGGCGCTGGAACGGTGCTATTTAATCCGCAGCTGCCGCAAAAGGAGCGTCCGAAGCAACTTCTGAACCTCCGGATGCGACAAAGCGTCCGGGTGGGATAGGTCAACAAAGGCGTCAGACGAGCGCTTGGCTTCAGGCGTCAGCAAACGAGGCGCAGGGGTGGACGGCTGATCTATCACAGGAGAAGAGCGTCCGACCGGGCGCACGAGGGGAGAAGACCGAGTCCACAGAAGAAACAGGGGAAGACATTTTCCCTTCCGCTGTGACAAGCGCTTCTTCTTAGCGCTGAGGTAGGCCTTGAAATCTGCGACGGACAGCTGGAGTACAAAAGTGACAGCGCTCGTCAATGGAACAGGCAACAGTCGCACAGTCTGGGCACCAGGGGTGTGGGTCCTTGGCAGACTTCTGCACCTTGCAGATGCAACAAAACTGCCGGGTCATGCACACCAAAAGCTGTAACACACAAATGTGAAACGTAAAAAACCTAGAAACAACCCCTGCAGACGAAAAAATGGAAGCACCCCTCCCACAAGAATGGGCACGCCCAAGTAAGTGGGACAGTCGTGTAAACAACCAAGATGGCTGCCCCACACTGAGTCTAAAAAGCTGAAAAACACACACAATTTAGGCAAGAAAAAGAAGGTACACAAAACAAGCATGAAACAGAAGGTGGAAGAACCCTAGAGGTATCAAAACACCCAAACATGCCACGTGGAAAAAACTCGGAACGTGGGGACACACCCCAAGCCGAAGTGAAAAACATAAACACGAGGTAGCCAGGTAAGTGAAGTTACTTGTAAATTATGTTCTTCACCCACAGAGAAGAGACATAAGATAGAAAAACATACATACCAATAACTTTAATATCTGAAATCTATTAGTAAGTGTCTGAAAACTTAGCGAAACAAAAACGTCTGACAAGCAAGACGCTTGAAGTAAAAGTGATTTTGGATGGACCGCGCTTGCGCTGGAGGGGAGATCACGTCACTTCCGTTGCCTGTACACTCGTCGATACACGAGGTGGCCGTTCTATAGAATGGCGAATCAACGACTGTCTGATCTCTTTAGGCGGAGCTTGAGGTAATATGCATAAGACCTATGGTAAGGTAAGTTAAAAATTAATGTGATTCTGATAAACTCAACTCACCGTCACATGCCATATTTGGACGCCGTTACTATAGCCGATGATCAACAACAGCGGAGGACCTCCCGGCTCATTCACGTGGAAGTTGGGGTTGTGAGACAAATCTGAAAGAGACAACATCGGCACTATATTGTTTGATCGGCATTCTAGAAGCTCGTGAGCGTCAAAAATGAAACAAACTTTATGGATGACAACTTGTTTGTTTGTTACATTAAGCGAGGTTTCTATGTAGGTTTCTATGTAGATTCTTACATCCTTATCAAGCTTACAGTGTCAACAAGTGTAAACATGTAAGAATCTACATCGAAACAAACAAATCGTTGTATGTTTCTTTTTTAATCGGCACTATAATTTATATTATTCAACAATGTGATGTAAACATGACCACAATGTCTGAATTCTGTGTCAGAATATGACCTCTTCATCTCAACTACTGAGGACCAGGGCTCTGTTCCACAAAGTGATTGTAGTGCTACGATAGTCGTAAGTCTATGTTAAAGTATGGGAGTTGCGATCGTCCCAGGGTTACAATCGCTTTTGAGGAACGGGGCCCAGACAGTCCTATGGTGTAACAAGGCTGTGTGTAATCACAACGAGTCGAAGATATTGGTCATCTGAACAGGCACTATTAACGCTTTGTGGTACAGCATATATTATAGTGCTAGTTATTTCTCACAAAATGCAGATTGACAGTCAGACCTCAGTAATCGATTGTAATCACACACCTCACCACAAAACTCATGTGGGCCAATAACAGGACACAATCATAACATTGTACAAACCAAACAGGCTCTGAATAATACCACGATGAAGATGATCAAGGAAACTCCATGTTGAGACACACACACAAGCATGTTTTACTAACGTTTAGGACTCAGGATAATGCATTGGTCGTTTATGTCTTGACTTAACATAACAAACCATAAGACTGACTGACTGAGTTTTGGTTTTACGCCGCTTTTAGCTATATTCCAGCAACATCACGGCGGGGGACACCAGAAATGGGCCTCACACATTGCACCCATGTGGGGATTCGAACCCGTGTCTTCGGCTTGACGAGCCAACGCTTTAACCACTAGGCTACCCCAACGCCCACAAAAAATAAGAAGCATACTTAATAAAGTTTAATTTGATGGTTCATTTCTTATGAATATCGATTAGTCTCCCAAACTTGTAGATAATCATGGAATCGACTGACTGATTATTCGATCAATCACTGCAGCACTGCTAAATTGTATAGATCCAGCTGGAGTATTGCTCACTGCTGCATAAAACAACATTCACTCGACGCCTCAGACTACCCAGGCTTCCTTATTTCCTGAAGGTAGAGCTAATTGCACAAGTATGTAAGCAGTAAATTGATTGGTCAAATTCTCAAAGTAATACTCTCCATTTATTGGATAGTTTTTTTAAAGATGTGAATCACATTATCATGATTATGTATGCAAAATCAAACATTCAGGAAAGACAGATGGATGCTGTCTATATACTCAGTACTGATCACTAATATTTCAGTAATATGCTGAGGGAAACAAATAAAGGAACACCACTTCATGGCAGTGTCCCTATATTTATTCACATTTCCTCTCACAGAGCGATTCAAAACTGGAAAATATTAATGGAACACTTGAATATTCCTGTTTTCCATTATTTGTTTCTCTCAGTATATTAAGACGGATAGTAAATAATTAAGTCCAGACAAGACAAAGATGTCATCTATCATACTACAGGCAAATAACTGCTACGTTGTGAACATCCTAATAATAGCCATACCATTCACATCACATCTCTCAAATTTCACCCACAGAATCTTGTCTTTGTCATCTGTCTTCTGTGTACCGCTGTACGCCTACAACAGAAATATACAGCAATAAATATCAGACCAGAAACATCATCCAACATACATTAGTAAGAAAACATTAGTCAGTTGTAAACTTCGGAAATAAGTCTTTTTTTTAAGTGTGAGTCAGATTAACTCACCTGTACCTGGGGAACCACATCAGAAAGCAGGTCCACCACAGACTTGTACCTAAAAGATTAACTCACCTATACCTTTGGTTACCACATCAGCAAGCAGGTCCACCACAGACTTGTCAATGAAGGATTAACTCACCTGTACCTGGGGAACCACATCAGCAATCAGGTCCACCACAGACTTGTCACTGAAGGATTAACTCACCTGTACCTGGGGAACCACATCAGCAATCAGGTCCACCACAGACTTGTCACTGAAGGATTAACTCACCTGTACCTGGGGAACCACATCAGCAATCAGGTCCACCCACCACAGACTTGTCAATGAAGGATTAACTCACCTGTACCTGGGGAACCACATCAGCAATCAGGTCCACCACAGACTTGTCACTGAAGGATTAACTCACCTGTACCTGGGGAACCACATCAGCAATCAGGTCCACCACAGACTTGTCACTGAAGGATTTACTCACCTGTACCTGGGGAACCACATCAGCAATCAGGTCCACCACAGACTTGTCAATGAAGGATTTACTCACCTGTACCTGGGGAACCACATCAGCAATCAGGTCCACCACAGACTTGTCACTGAAGGATTAACTCACCTGTACCTGGGGAACCACATCAGAAATCAGGTCCACCACAGACTTGTCACTGAAGGATTAACTCACCTGTACCTGGGGAACCACATCAGCAATCAGGTCCACCACAGACTTGTCACTGAAGGATTAACTCACCTGTACCTGGGGAACCACATCAGCAATCAGGTCCACCACAGACTTGTCACTGAAGGATTTACTCACCTGTACCTGGGGAACCACATCAGCAATCAGGTCCACCACAGACTTGTCACTGAAGGATTAACTCACCTGTACCTGGGGAACCACATCAGCAATCAGGTCCACCACAGACTTGTCACTGAAGGATTAACTCACCTGTACCTGGGGAACCACATCAGCAATCAGGTCCACCACAGACTTGTCACTGAAGGATTAACTCACCTGTACCTGGGGAACCACATCAGCAATCAGGTCCACCACAGACTTGTCACTGAAGGATTTACTCACCTGTACCTGGGGAACCACATCAGCAATCAGGTCCACCACAGACTTGTCACTGAAGGATTTACTCACCTGTACCTGGGGAACCACATCAGCAATCAGGTCCACCACAGACTTGTCACTGAAGGATTTACTCACCTGTACCTGGGGAACCACATCAGCAATCAGGTCCACCACAGACTTGTCACTGAAGGATTTACTCACCTGTACCTGGGGAACCACATCAGCAATCAGGTCCACCACAGACTTGTCACTGAAGGATTAACTCACCTGTACCTGGGGAACCACATCAGCAATCAGGTCCACCACTGACAGACTTGTCACTCAGGACAGACTTGTCACTGGGGAACCACATCAGCAATCAGGTCACAGACTTGTCCTGAAGGATTTACTCACCTGTACCTGGGGAACCACATCAGCAATCAGGTCCACCACAGACTTGTCACTGAAGGATTTACTCACCTGTACCTGGGGAACCACATCAGCAATCAGGTCCACCACAGACTTGTCACTGAAGGATTTACTCACCTGTACCTGGGGAACCACATCAGCAATCAGGTCCACCACAGACTTGTCACTGAAGGATTAACTCACCTGTACCTGGGGAACCACATCAGCAATCAGGTCCACCACAGACTTGTCACTGAAGGATTTACTCACCTGTACCTGGGGAACCACATCAGCAATCAGGTCCACCACAGACTTGTCACTGAAGGATTAACTCACCTGTACCTGGGGAACCACATCAGCAATCAGGTCCACCACAGACTTGTCAATGAAGGATTAACTCACCTGTACCTGGGAAACCACATCAGCAATCAGGTCCACCACAGACTTGTCACTGAAGGATTTACTCACCTGTACCTGGGGAACCACATCAGCAATCAGGTCCACCACAGACTTGTCACTGAAGGATTAACTCACCTGTACCTGGGGAACCACATCAGCAATCAGGTCCACCACTGACATGTCACTGGGGAACCACATCAGAAATCAGGTCCACCACAGACTTGTCACTGGGGAACCACATCAGCAATCAGGTCCACCACACTCTCCACCACAGACATGTCAATTAAGGATTAACTCACCTGTACCTGGGGAACCACATCAGCAATCAGGTCCATCACACTCTCCACCACAGACATGTCAATTAAGGATTAACTCACCTGTACCTGGGGAACCACATCAGCAATCAAGTCCACCACAGACTTATCACCATGGACCCCTCCATTAACGCGATAGGTAATGTTATCGGTATCGAGATTATGAACGCTAATTGACATTTGTCATTTTTTATATATTTTCGGTTGACTGATGTTTTATCTACAAATCTGTCGCACATAGTCGCAACCCGTTCAACACGATCACAATATACAAACCATTGTCAAACGTTTACTTAGGACAATCTTAACTAGTTTAAATATTAAAAACTATTTAGGAATTTCGGAACTGAGATCAGTAATATCATTTTAACCAAAACATCTGTCACTTCTATTCATTTGTATACACGATAACAATAAGTTTTTCCACTTTTAAAAAGCGCAGTGTGTGGCTGTAGTTGCAGGTGAAGGTACACACACACGCCACTTCCAGAAAATATGCAAATGACTTTATGGTTGTTTGCAGGATTACTCTTGACGCAAGTAAGTTTGATTCATGCAAGATGCAATGCATGTAGAGGTCATATTAGTTTCAAAATGTTCCAGAACTCACTGCAAAGATGAATACTTTAACATTTCTAAAATTAGCCATGACATCCTCCAAAATAAATCACTTTTTCAAATGCGATTAATTGTTTTACGTAATTTGCATATGTAAACAACCGACCCTGGGTGTGGTGTTTCTTCCCGAGAAACCTGTTTATTCAAGACTGTCAAGTAACCACCACGCTTGGTGATTTTACGGGACGCTTTAATCACCCCGCGCCGTGTTTGCACCCAATCGAGTTGGTTCCACGGTGATTGAATTAATTAGGGTCAAGCGCTTCAGTTAGTACCGCGGAGCGCACCCGTCTCGCGTACAAGAGACGATAGGCCATCTCGCATACACGTTACGTCTCTGACTGATCACTGAAGGATTAACTCACCTGTACCTGGGGTACCACATCAGCAATCAGGTCCACCACACTCTCCACCACAGACTTGTCACTGAAGGAAGAAACAAACAAATACTGATATAATCATGGCTACAAAATGTCCCTAAGAAGATTTAACAAAGCAGTGATGTTTAAGTGATGCAATACAACTTAGGAGTTGGGTGTACATACTATAGTCTGTCTCACAGTCCCTGAACCACATTATTTTCCCTACTACTACTGTGACTACCTAGCCCTCCCTGCAATGCTAAAGCCCTAAATGAAGCAGTCTAGATTTCTCCAGGTTCAATCTCCCAACTCACTGGGGCTCCTTTTCAATTTAAATGGGTTTATTTGTTACTATCAAAATTATATAAATTATTCAGGGACTAAGCATTGGTCTATGTATACTGCTACAAACATATAATATTTCAGTTATCAGCCGGTTATGTACATCAGCATTTCATTCCAGAAGGACACAGGACTTACACATAAACTGCATTGATAAAAGCCAACATGTCATGTTAAAACAATCAGCTTGAACATAAGGGAGTCCTTGTCACAACTCTTATCATGCTTATGGTGAAAGCTGAAAACTTATGGGGGTCCCCGTAAATGTTATTTTAAAATTTATATCAACAATCATTGTTAAAAGCCCCAGATTTAAACCTTCATAGACAAGATTTATTTGAGATTTAAAAGACACTCAGATGAGAATCTCTATAACTGCTGCTCATTTCAAGTATTATAATTATAACTCTGCACAATGACCTTTGGTTGGTTGGTTGTTTAATGCCGCACTCAGCAATATTCCAGCTTTATGGTGGCAGTCTGTCCATAATCGAGCCTGGACCAGACAATTCAGTGATCAACAGCATGAGCTTCAATCTACACAATTGGGATATGATGGCATGTTTTAACCAAGTCATGTCATCACTGATGTTTCCATGGCTCCATTTTGTATCATTGAAACATCAGTCAGCATCCATATAAGATAGAGTGAGTGAGTTTTAGTTTTAGCAATATTCCAGCAATATCACGGCGGGACACCAGAAATGGGCTTCATACATTGTGCCCATGTGTTGAATCGAACCCGGGTCTTCAGCGTGACAAGCGGACGCTTTAACCACAAGGCTACCCCACCGCCCCATCCATGCAAGAAAGACTCTGTGAGGGAAACCCATTACTGATGATTTATGTGACAAAAATGTGATACAGGTACCAGTTTAACATGTCATGTATGTGGCACATTCACCTGTCATTAGTGTCAGGAACTTAGGCTATATGCCTTACATTGGTAAGGTGGAGATAGTGCACATAATGTCAACACTGCATGAATTTGAAGTTTTAACAGTGTTGATTTCTTCTGTTCCTACTGCCATCTATAATCTCTAAGGGGTGATTATGTCACATGCAGAATGGCTATGTACATGCTATTTTCCACTGTGTACTGTATATTGTGTTTACCATTGTAAAATACACCTTTGAGTTAACCTGGACGTGTTTCATCTAAACCTTGTTGGATGTGATTTTCATATAGTGTTCCATATATAATGATAGTTTATGTGAATTATGTCAGTGTCTAAAACTGGAGACTTCACTTACTGAATACCCCAAAAAGGCCTGCCCTATTACTTCCATTTGATTGACACAAGGGAATGACAGTCATTAAATAACTTGTATTTATGAAAAAAACATACAACCTAGTTTAAAGAGCATGTGAAATATGTTATGCTCGTTCACGCAGTGTCAGTCGGTAATACATCCTTACACAACCGCAAAATGGAGATACTTTATCAGCAAAATGTGATCACGTAAACAACCAACATTAGCACTGGCCAGTGGCATAATTTCTATTCTACCATGACTTCAGTAAACACTGGATTGTGATTGGTTAATTAAACTCATTCAGAGGTATATAATCACGTTATACAGGTCTCTGTTTTCCGTGCGCAATCATACATGGTTTACGGTAATGCACTATTTTTGTCTGCCCACTAACATGGCGGACACCGAACAACCTACCGATGCATCGATAAATTACGGCCATTTTACTGTCGGAAATTACACATATGTCTTTAAAGATGGATTTAGCGATGACGGGCACGACTCACTACTACTTCATGTAAATCACAGCAATAGGTGTTTATACATACAAAAGTACTTTCAAAGCATGGAAACAAATATTCAGTCGAACAAGATCCAAAACATCGCCTCGCTTTCCTAATAAAAATTCAGCAAAACAAATATGTTTACGCTGATTCTATGTTATGTCAGAATAGATCCAGCAATAGACTGCTACAAAATTCCGTGTTAAATTTATTATCAGCTTTCACAACTATATATCGCCACTCGATCTTGATCCGTAACGGAGGATGCATTAACATCGAACGCCGAAGAAATTTTAGATTCTAATGCCTTCCGCATTCACATAAATAAACAGTTGGGTTATCAATTCAAACAAAATGATATTTTGAAATTTGTACTGTTTCAAAATTTAGCGCAGTAAAACACAATTAGATCTACAGAATCTGCAAACCGCTCTGTTTAGTCCAACATATTTTTTTTCTAAATGTATAATATCGCTTGAAAAAGTTATTTAGCTTAGTCATGATCCCTCTTATCCATTACACTGTTTGATTTGATCTAAAGTAGTCTATTAAAGTATAATTAATTACCTTACCGCGGTTTATGCCAGAGGTACACCCTCGCGGTCCTGATCCATCCTTTTCGAAATATCACCACAAATCTGGCTCTTTGTCAACAGACTCTAACATGGATGCCAGCCAATCCGATTCAATTTGAATTCACTACACACTTTGAAGCCACTAGGTCACAAAACACTTTCCAAAATGTAGAAAATAATATCCGTGAGAATCTAATTTGAGTTAATAAAGCACATAACACGAGTGTGTAAGAGTCACCACAGCTGTCGACGCAGACGAGGTGCTGGAATCGCCAAGTTGACAGGGCTAAAAATTCAACAGTATGTAAATTCGTACAACACGGACTCTCGCTACAGCAAAAGCCTCTACTCTTAAATTTTGTACCAGTACCAGTAATTAGATATCAAAGACTATCTCAGTCATACAATCAGGTTAACCTTGGCAAAACTGTCAGTGGCTCCTGTCCTGATCTTCCAAATGTAAACAATGACTTTGAGAAAAGGTCAAGGCCATGAGGTTGCTGCCACTATTCTGGTGGGGAAAGGGTCTACGGTGGAATTTTCAAATGTGAACCAAGCTTTTTGAAACTTATTTGATATATGTTTTCCAACTTATCAGTTAATGATTGGTGATTGATGCATTGAAAACAAAAACGTGATTTGTTATTACTGAATCTGGAGTTTGTTAGTCATTGACGGTTTGCCACCAAACACCCTGTTTCGGGCGATACCCACTTGAGATTGGAATGCGAGGCCGCTTCACGCATTGACTCGTAACCAAAGAAAGAGCTCCACCTGAAATTGTTCATAAAATTGTCATGTAGAATGAGATAGTCCTGATTGTGTTAGAATCAGAGAGAATCTATTATAATAGTTTAATTGTTCATTTAAAACCTCACGCTACGCGTTCGGTTTTAAATGAAATTTAGAGCTATTATAATTTCGTTATATACCTCTGATTTTCCCACACAGTAGGTTTATCTCCTAATTCTTTGTAACTCTGTGCCATGTCTATAAGACGACAAACTTCCACAAAAGATCTAATTAAATACACAGCAAGCTTTACGAAGATTGGGATAAATGTAAACATAGAATAATAAACAGTCATTTCTATTATTAATCACTACAGTAGTACAGACGAAATGGGTACTGTTTGCACCTGTAAGCTTGGGGCCTCACTGATGCGCAGTTAAAACGGGATGTTCTTCTCGGAGAATCGGCGGCCATTTCGATCTACACGATCAAGCCAATTTTGGGGACAAAACATCCACTTGTTACTTTAAAATACTTCGTCCTTACATTTACAGCTGATGTTTTCGTAGGATGTGACGTCACATGTTTTCGTCCCACAATGCAGAACTGTCAGAAAGGGCGGTAACTCTTGTGTATACAAAACTCGTGGGCACACAGGAGATAATACGAAAGCCGTATTTACAATGAAATGTGCGCATTAAAATAATCCCCAATGTTTTTCAGCATCACCCAAAGCAGATATTACTATATAGGTTCATCGTGTATGTTTGAATCTGGAAGTTCAAGCTGCGTCCAGAAAAGATATTCTGGGTGATCGACTTGTGACTCACTGAACTTATTTTAAAAGGAAGTCCTTGAACTATTATTTTCTGATATTGGCCACTTTTCAGATACATTTCACGATACAGGTGTGACGATACAGACATTTCATGATACAGTACGTATCGCGATATCTTGGAAAGATACGATCGATTCGATGCATATCATGACATGATATCTTTAGTTATTTTCTTCAAAAAAGTATATTTTGATAGCAAGTAACAGTGTAAATTTTGACATAACCGTCAATTTTAGTGAAAATTTACAATTTAACGGCCACCAGACTTAATTTTGGTAAATACGAGGCGTTGTGACTGCTTGAGACCGCAGGCATCGAAGGCATTCATATTTTGGCCGTGCGTTATTCCGGTCATTTTCGAAAGCCTACAATCGATGCAACAGAATATCCTGTTGAGCTTTGGTCTTGACCATGTGAGACCAAAGCTCAACAGGATATTCTGTAGGTATGGGAGGAGTGAGTGAGTATGGTTCTACGCCGCTTTTAACGATATTCCAGCAATATCACGGCGGGGGAAAACAGAAATGGGCTTCACACATTGTACCCATGTGAGGAATCGAACCCGGGTCTTCGACGTGACGAGCGGACGCTTTAACCACTAGGCTACCCCACCACCTCAGGTATGGGAGGAAGGAATTGCCGAGGCAGACACCAGTGATTTGTTCCGTTCAGCAGTAGTGGTGTTCCGATTGACATAATCGAAGATTGGTCGCAGTGACCAAACGACCAAGCGATCGATCACATTTTCTCATGAGGCCAAACAAATTTATATGTGTTTAGTGTAACATGAAATTATGAAACAGTGTCGGTAGGTAGGGTTTATATTTATTATTCTTACATTTTTTTTTAAATGCACCTGCATATTTTTCATAAAATCACATATTTATGTAATATCAGTTACCTGTTTTAAAAGAAAAGAGGGGAAACCAGTTTAAAATTTTAATAACTGAAGCATCAACATTTCTATATTCAACATTTATGAAACACAAGAGTAAGTGAGCACAGGTCACATATAATCGCCCCCAACAGTGGGGAGTACATACTGTTGGGATAGCAAAATGTTTCGCCGTCTTTTAAAAAACGGAAAAAAAAGTTTAGGGTCGGAAGTCTGTGATGGTGTCGGTCAGGAAACCGTAAACACACATATTATTAATTATTTTTTTTTATTGGGGGTGTGTGCTAATCGAACACAAACAAGTTTGGAACTACTGTTTTAGTGTTTGTAACACTTGACAATGGAACATATCTTAGAAGTTATTAGAGCCTGAAACATGTTTAATTCTTAGAAAACCCACTTCACTTACTAAAAAGTCATGACTGAATATTTCTTGAAGATTCTGGGAAGTTTATGTTCATGATATATAAGTCATTACTTTAAAGTAGCAAGTTGCATCATTTTACATTTGATGTGAAATTTGCAAATAGATAAAAATAAATGAATAAATAAACAACAACAGAGAACCATGTAATACTTATCTGCAATAACAACATGAATAGTAAAATCTGAAAAATGATGCTAACCAATGTTTTTCGATGATTGCTTGTTGGTAATGAACCAATCATCAATTGTGATATTTCGACCAATTCCCAGCACTATTCAGCGGGTATCTGTTGCTGCATGCATCCAAGACTATCAAGACTTTTGTGATTTAAAGGCCCATACACAATATTGCAGGTGATTCTGGTGTGGTGATTCTCCCGAGGTAGCCGAGAGCAGCATCTTCAGGTTATTCAGAAAGTTACGTTTATTTGATGGATTGAAGCATCCGACTTATTAAAGTTTTAGTAGAAAAGGTGTAGATTCATTAGACTGAAAACTGTGACTTTTCAACAGCCGGGGGCGGTGGGGTAGCCTGATGGTTAAAGCGTTTGCTCGTCACACCGAAGGCCCGGATTCGATTCCCCACAAGGGTACATTGTGTGAAGCCCATTTCTGCTGTCCCCCGCAATGATATTGCTGGAATATTGCTGAAAGCGGGGTAAAACCCAACTCACTCACTTTCAACAGCCAGCATCAATAGTGTGAGATGTATGTTCTTAATATTCTTTACTTCAGAAATGTAGAACAAATCCATGATGTTCTAATATTGAGTATACACCCACAGATGACGATCAGCTGAAGGACGTGCTTGTAACGAACGGTATTTGTCCTTATTTCAGATATTGTTGAATTTCAAAACATCTATAGGAGCCTGATTTTGAGAATGAATTCTCGGTTTTCATTTTTAAAAAGAAAGATCATGTCTAACTTGTGTTAATTGATAAGTCTTCTGATTTAAAATGTTTACGAATAGACGATATAAGTCTCATGTCAAGTGGTCAGACCGAAGTTGTGAAAAATATTGTTAAAAGTCAACAAAAAGGGCCCCTAACTCTAAAATGTAACGAAAATGGAAGATTCTGGCTGTAAAATCCCCTCAAGGATTTTACGACGCGTCTCAGTCCTTCCTAGGACAGGTCACGTAGTTTAAATAACGTTCTCACTTACAACTACCATTGGTATTTAAATACGAACAAGTGAAAAAATGAGAGAAGACGAAAGAAGATATTAGATTTGGACGTCAGAATAACGATAATGCGTTTGTATCTTTTGGACCAAAGTATGAGTCGAATATCGACTTGGTTTCATTCACAGTCTAATACAGTCATTAAGTTATCACATTTCTCACAACCAACCACAATGTCCATTGTTGGAGCTACCTGGCCCGAAGAGAACTCTATTTGAATAAACAAATACTTTGAGTAAACAAATGCTGGAAAATGTCAATGTTTTCAAGGGTACAAGATCAGTTTGTACTGTGTTCCTTGGCAGGGCGTGAACACGATATGCTTTATTTGTTTGTTTGATGTTTAACGAAACAGTCCAATAGTATGACAGCGGTCTGTACAATATCGAGCCTGGACCAGACAATCCAGTGATCAACAGCATGAGCATCGATCTGCGCAATTGGGATACGATGACATGACATTGTGTCAACCAAGTCAGCGAGCCTGACCACCCGATCCCGTTAGTCTTCCGTTAGCCTCTTGAGTTGCTGAAGACCAATTCTAACCCGGATCTTCGCGGTGTAAAGCTAAACTCACTCACTCATATTACCTTCAGACGATGAAATTACAATGACGATAACTCAGAAACAATATCTATCTAAAGAAGCGTCTGTAAAGTCATGAAATGAACCCAATATCGTGGATTGTAATCATCCATGTTTATTAAGTGGCCACCTTGCTGACATATTTAAAGAACATCAGCAAATCATAGCTGGAAGAACATATTTGTTTGGTTGTCTTTTAACGCAGCTACCTGTAAATAATCGACTCTGGACAAGACAGTCCCGTGATCAGCAACATGAGTATCGATCTTCGTAATTGGGATCCGAGGACATTGATGCTAACAAATCAATCAACATTTTGTTCAAAACGGAAAAGGGAAGCATCATACCGCTTATCTAGATTTACCGTTGAATGTGAAAGTTGTGCACTGTGGCAGCTGGTCAACATATTGGAGGGCGGTGGGGTAGCCCAGTGGTTAAAGCGTTCGCTCGTCACGCTGAACATCCGGGTTCGATTCTCCATATGGGTTCAATGTGTGAAAACCATTTCTGGTGTCCTCCAGTTTCGTTAATATCTTAATTTATAGGCAAAAAGACAAGAATGTATATTTTAGGAGTGGAACTCCAGAATGTTATGTCACTGAAGGATCCATATTTGATAATGATAACAATGTTTCTTCCTATTTTATATTTGGAAATACATTCTCTCAGCAAAGTATAGGTTCTAGTACTTTTGTCCCAACCTGGTTTCGAATCCACTCTCTCAGAGTCAGGCGCCTAATCGCCACCACAAGCCCCAGAGGCTGAGAGTGTTAGATGGCTGACTCTATGTGCTGGCGATTGGGTGCCTGACTCTGAGAGTGATAGATGGCTGACTCTATGTGCTGGCGATTGGGTGCCTGACTCTGAGAGTATGGGTTCGAATCCCGGATACAACATATGTCACATTTGACCTCTTGTTTGAATGGCATTCGGTGTTCTTTCCTCCCCTGCCTTGCAATTGCTGTTCCTGTAACGTCAACTGCAGTAAAAGCCAACTAAACTTTCAGGATCCCAAGCACGATGATAGAACGAAGAGTCGTTAATGGCGTTAACATTAATATTTAATATCTAAAAGTATTTACGAATTCGTATAAGTCCAAGTGGAATATATTTTGGTATGATGCGAATCAGTTATTTCTATTAGAACAAAACTGTTTATCAATGTCTTAAAATATTTTGTTCAAGCTTAGGTCATGGATGTGATTTATATCGTTTCTCCTAAAATATAGAAATCTATAAAAGAAAGAAACAATAGTGATGATGGTCTGTTTTGTGCAATGAGGAGGTCTGTACGGAAGCCTTTTATCGCCTTTAGGTTTTTTACATTTTTTTGCATGAAATTTCAATTTAATATGTATCTTGAAATTTCAACATAGTATCTCAAAAATTCAACTTAGTATCTTGAAATTTCATCTATGGATCTTGAAATTTCAAGAAAAAACAAAACAAAAACAAAACCCGAATGGCCCGAAAAGGTTTCCGTAGGGTTTGACTGGCGTGCTGGTATTCCTCGACAAAATATTGATTATGCGTATCAGAAGCACCTGGAGCCTTGCATTTGTACACATGACAGGCATGTGGGAAAATATGCGATATTCATTAACCTGAGAGCCAGTGCAAATCATAAACCCATATAACATT